TTACTCTTTCTGGCTTCTCCTCCACTTGTTTTATTTTTAACAACCCTATTATCCCCATTTCTCCTTTAAACTGACTAGCACATGTGTGTGAAAGCTGATTTTAGAGCCTTCGACCTCCTGCTTTAGCACCCTTTTTCCCCCCTGCAAAGTGCAAGACACGACCAGGAACAGAGGGTGGGGAAAGTGAGGAAGAGAAGGGCGGGGGTTAAGATAAATGGAAGCAAGGTTGATGAAAACAACAGATCTCTGCTCCCTAATCCTTTTGTGTTGATGGTGTTGATCCATCCAAGCAAATCCAGCCCCCCCCAACCCCTGCCCGCCCACACTACTCACCCTCCCTCAACCCCTGCTTCTGCACTACTGTACCAGGAGTTGTCACATAAACAACAGACAGCACTACTGGAACTAATACTCATCCCCAGACAGTGAAGCAGAAGTACAAAGCAGCTGCATTAGCCCCCTGATAAATACTGCAACTCAGGCTCAACTCTGTCCCTGTTTTCATCCTGTTCATCTTAGTGGCCACTGGGAACAAGTGTCTATCCTAGACCGGTCGCTTTGTTGGTCTATGCAAATATGTTTTGATTTTGCAGCAGCATGTCTGTGTATGTGCACTGGAAACAGCAAAGCACTATTTTCTCTTTTTATGTATTTTTGCTCTCGTGTTTGCTCCTCTTTGTTTTTTGTTTTCTTTTGGTTTGTTTTGGCTACAACACATGTAATGAATACACTTGAGAGAGTATAGTGTGTTCACTAATTGTTTGAGTCATGGTTTTGTTTACTAGCTGTAAGAGAGAAGGAAGGAGGAGGGGCCATTAGCGAGGGCAAGAGCAGTGGTTGTTGGGGAAAGAGGACGTTGTGTCTTCACCCTCTGACAGAGAGAGCTCTCCGTGGTGCTGAAAACAGAAAAACATTCAGACTCCAGTTACAGTGCAGCCGCAAAGGAAAGGCAGCCAAGACACACAAGGCACAAACATAAAATGACTAAAAGAAGAAGAGACTATGATATGAGAGTGCATGAAGATGAACTGAAAAGCACATAGCAAAGGAAACAGCAGTGCAGGAAAAGGAAGGAGAGAGAGAGAGAACGCTGTAAGGTGGCTACAGTATGCAGTGGGCGTGTTCTTCTTGTTGTGATCTATAGTTGGGAAGCCCAGATTTATCTGCTTAAGGAAATAGTGCCTGTACAGACCTGTGTGGCTGAGCAGAGAGAGCCAGCTGGGAATGCCATACCTGGAAACGTGCACCACTCTTCTCCACCTCGGTTTCAACCTTCAGGGCACCGTGGATGAGGATTCATTTCACCGGTGCGACACTTTAAGACATTTTGTGTGTTCGGACATATTAAGCAGAAGGAAAGACATTCTGGGAAAAAAGCATTAGAAATTGTGTTAGTGTGTATTTGTGTCATGCTTGCCACTGCGGGTGCGGTCTGTTGCTATGCTGCATCTTCCCACTGTCCTTAACATGTGCAGATGTGTGGAGCAGTGAAACTGGCACCTGGCTTGGAGTTTGGCATTATCTGGACTGGAGGGGTTCCACCTCCCTTTTCTACCCAGGGGACGGAGCACCAGGCTGGGAACTCAATGGCCCAGCTCCCCTCTAGCACCAGCTTAATCCTGAGTAACAGGGACTCCTTTTAGCAAGCAAATCAGTTGGATCATACAATAAATGGAAGTCTCTGTGGATTTAAGGGGAATTGTGCACTGGTGCTCCAGCAAAGGTCAGAGTTCACTAGCGTGCACTGGACTCATCAGGGGAAGACAGAAGACACATTGGTCTACAAACCAGCAGGGACACAGTCCTATTGTGAGTATTCAACATAACACTTGCTTTTACACAAAATTGACACACAAACCCACAAAGAATTATGCCAGCAAATTTTGCTGCTAATATATGCTCTCTCTCTCTCTCTCTCTCTATTGAAGTCAACATAAAAAAACACAATAGCAGAGCTGCCAAGTGTTGCACCTCTGCATGACTGGGTTTGCATTTTAACCTTTCCTTGGCCCACTCCCCTGGTCTGTGAATGTCTGTGTTTGTGCATGCACAAGCACCCACACATGCTGTCACTAGACTACTGGCCTTGGCAATCTTTTTGACATCGTGTCTCTAGAATATCCATGCTACCCTTCTCCTGTGACATGGTTGCCTGGAAACAGAAATGTGTGCCACTTTGATTTACTTTTAAAGCAAAGTGCACCTCTGTGTTGCAGCTGTTGCAGCCCATGTCAACTGTGGCAAAGGGAGGGAGAATAGATGAGATCGAAAGAACACAGAAAATGCATCAAGTGAGGAGGAAATGCAATAAGAAGGCAGCTCTGTTGGGAGTGAGGGGAGGGGGAGATGGGTTGCTGTATTGAGAGATAATCAAATAAAAATAGCATTTTACATCAGTGAATTATGGGAGGACAATCCAGTGTGAAAGGTTTGGTTGATAAAAAAACAGTGTGATAAACAAGCTGATTCCAGTGCAGAGTGCAGCGGTAGGCTTACAGGGATTAAGCAGGCAAGCTTAATTCAGCTCAAACACTGTTTGAACTGTGCCTTCCCATTGCTGCATGCTTAACACATCTAACTGGTTCACCTCATTTCTCCTCAGAAGCAAAGATTTACTTCTCTTGTACAGCCTCAGATCTCTGACTGTGCCTGTGCATCAATGATAAAAACCTGATAATCAGGTTTAAAAAAAAATCGCAACACCACTTGACACCAGGACTCTGTGTCCTAGTTTGAACTCTGATCTGCTCCATTTGTTGGCTCTTATCAGTCCTCTCCTAATGCCTGTAAAAACCTAATGGAGTTGAAGATGTGTTGTAGGGAGTGGAACTGACAGATAAACCTACTGACCTAGGCCCCATGCTGGACTTAATGATAGACAGACTAAGGTAGAAGGATGCTGAGGATGGCTAGACAATGGCTGGCCTCTCAGTTGGCCCTGCAATTTCCATCTGGCTGCCTTCCAAGCCCTCCCTCATCATAAGCACCCTCCCCCTCTCTGTGCACACTCACACCCGGTGCTTCTCTCACACGTAAACAAGCATGAGTCTTGGGCTGATCAGAAAACAACTGACCTACATGAAGGCATGTGCTGTCCTCTTTTCTTCCACCACTGGCCTCTCAAAATTCACATTCAGCTGTTGCACATTGTGTTTATTATGCTGCATGCAGGTGCACAGCTTTTCAGGCAAGCACATGCTGTATGACAATGCACACTGAATAACAGTATTAGCTGCTTAATGCTTTGTTTGAATCTTAAGTATCTATGGTCAATACTATTTTAAATTGATTGCCATTTAAAAAGTGTGAATGATTGCCCCATGTGAATGCTTTTCCTCACAGCAACATCCATGCTCTTTCCTATGACAGTGATACTGTAAATAATAGTGTTTGTACAGAATCAAAAGACAGCAAAGAACATCCAAACTGAATGGCATCCATATACAGCATGCAGAACCATCACAGTCTAGTAAGTTAGTTCATTTCTTTGTGTGATTTGTCCAAGGAGTACTGTATTTACATATTCAAGCTCAACACATCTTATAATTGCAGAAGATGAAAGTCTTTTTTTCAGCTTCATTCAGATGCTCATTTGGTTAAAGCCAGTAATTTCAGCCAGAAAATGTGCAAACAAAACTGAGAAAAAGAACAGCCGCTACTGAACCACAGCCAGTAAGGATACGGAGACACTGAAACTCAAGGTGATGAGTAACTGCAGCTAGATAGTGAGTCCCTTGACTGTTGTGTACGTGCTTGTGCAATGAACAATGAGGAAGGATGTTTCAGCCCTCCAGGGAAAATGCATGACATGGTCCAAGTCTCACCACCAACATAAACTTTCCATAAGCCATGACCTCCACAGCAACAGCTGGAAACCTTAAAAACAAATACTGTACATGTTTGCACAAACCCAATGTGTCACATTGCTTGTTATGCATTCAGAACATACTCATATATGATGCTGTGGCAGTCCATATAATTAGTAGTATTTTGTGTCTTTTATAGTCCAATAATTTTTTCTAATATTTTAATTTTTTCTTCGTCAGAATGCTGTGGAAACACTTGAAGAATGATGAGCTCCAAAGAGGAGGAAACGTTCCGTTTTTTCCAGTATGTTGAGGAGAATGGGCTGAGAACCTACAACGGCTTGATAGCTCAGAACTTGGACCACACCAGGAATGAGAGAAACAGGACATTTCTACAGGAGAAAAATGACAAGAAAAGAAAACAGGAGGAAGCCATAAGGAGGTAGGAAGAAAACAAACAAAGAAAGTGCTTCACTGGCTAATGTTTCCACAAAAATATCTTAAAAATATAAACTGATCTGGTTTGGATAGGTACTGTACATTTGCTGCTGTAGTCTTCTTACAAAACATGAATGGGATTTTGTTCTGTAATGCAAGGATGTCACTAGGTTCACTTCAGGGAGAGGTTTAAAAAAAACTGGGACAAGTGGCCAGAGGGCCCCTGTGGCAATGGTAGGATGCCATATTTTGGGGTTTGCCAGTGTGAGCTGGTGCTACCCATGATCTATAAAGGATAATTAACTTTTCACTTTTAAACTTATTTGGGACTTGTCCTTGGATGGAAGTCACTGCTGCTCCACTTTTGAGGACGCTTTTATAAGTAAGACGGAGGAGGGGTTGGTTGTCACAGAAAGTGTGTTAGGACGTGAGGGTGGGAATGAGATGTTTAGAGCCTTCCTATACAGTGATAATTTGGTAATATTTAACTAATTTGAAAACATTTTTTCCAGTTGACCTCATCAGACATGAGTCACACAAAGGCTGCTGCACTTTTGTTTGTATGTTGTGATGAACAAGCAGTTATAGTACTGCCAGTGTGCAGCAACACTATTGTGTGGCAACCCAGCATGACCATACATTTGGCATGCTTGTGTTGTTGGGTAGAATAGCTAGCACTAACTTTTTATATTTTGGTGATGACATTGACATCTGTGTTGCCCAAAAAACAAACAAAAAATTTTAAAAAATCACAAAACACACATGAAACACATGCAATATTCATTGAAAACCAACCATATACAAAATTTTACAGTTCTCATAAGTGCAGACAGGTGACAAAGTACAGTAAAATGAGTGGTCTATTCCAGGATGCCAGTGCCTCCATCCATAGAGCACAAGGGGTCACTGAATGGTTTGATGAGTATGAAAATTATGTGAATTTTACACTATGACCTTTATATTCTTCAGCTTTCAACCCAGTTCAACACCTATGGGAGATTTTGGACCGACGTCTCCACCACCATCATCAAAACACCACATAAGGGAATAACTTTTTCAAGAATGGTGTTCATCCCTCCAGTAGAGCTCAGAGACTTGTAGAATCCAAAACAAGGTTATTCAGTTTGATTGTCAAACAAATAATCTAATAATGTAGCAGGCTAAACAAAGATCAGTTTGTAATGGCAGGGCTTATGGGAAATGCAGTCCAATATTATCATGGGATCTGAACATTGTTGTTTCCTGTCAATCTGTCTGACACAATACGAAGTGTATTAATATCTCCTGGGAGTTTTAACTATGCATGAGATGATTGCATCGATGTGCTTTTGGGGCTGAGCATTTACATATGACCAAATGTCGTTATTCAGGAGCACGTACCGTGCATCACTTGCATGATCAAAACTGACTTATAGTTCAACTTTATACCAAAAGCATTAGTTACAGTTCTAAAATCTATCCTGGGCTGTTTTTTTTTATCATTTACCAGCAAAATATTATTTCAGTTGTTATTAGTCCTATACAGTAACTTGATGAATGGGAGAGGCCATTGTTTAAGGAGTGTGGCATCTACTGTCCTGTTATCCTTCCACTGTCTCTCAGCTGTTGCCAAAGCTAAAATATTAATACACAGTCACTGGAAGAAGTGGCTTTTTCATGAGGCCAATAAGTAGGTCAATGAGACGACCCATTTTTTTACAGTAACTGACTGAGACAGCATAAAGATTCATGCGTGCTGTGAGTGTGCAAGCAACTACATGTATGGTTGTGTACATGTGTGCATGAACATGACCAACAGAAAAGCACAAAATGCTTGGAACAAGGTAGGAAAGGACAAATAGCCTGTGTGATTATATGAAGGAAAAAGAGCTTTGTAGAGAAATGTGTTTGGGGGGAGGCTGATAAAGACAAAGAAGGAAAAAAACTATTAGTGAGAAATGTGAGCTCAGTTGCAGGAGATGTGTTCTGCCTGGTGACAGCTGGAAAAGTCATAGTCCAATCAGAATAGCAATGCTAGGTTTGAGTGAGGCAGGCCTTTCTGCCTGCTGCTGTCTCATTCTGGGCTTCTTTTGTTGTATTTCATCAGACAAAGTTAGAGTCTCACACACAAATTGACTTAAACATGTAAGTGTTTTCATGAACACCCACACCCATATGCACCGTCCGCCCCACAAAAACAATCACACACACCCAATTAAATTTGTTTAGATTTACATTTCCATGCAAATTCCAAACGGCTGCTTTCCTCTTTGTTTCCCACTTGTACACATGCACACGTTCTCATATAGACAGCTTTCTTGAATCCATTTTTTTTATAGATCTTCTTTTGTTGTGCTTCTGTAATTTTGTTTTTCTTGTCACATGGTAAAAGAAACTGAGCTGCCCCACTGCAAGTCAGTTCCAACTGGTCCAAGTGCACCTGTGGTCTATCCTCTAGCCAATCACTGGGCAAATATACTATAAATAACTCAGTCACCAGTTACGCCCACCCACCCACACACACATACAACCCATATGGGTGTGCATGCACACAGTCACAGCAGATGCACACAAGACATATGAGACGAAGAGACTGTCAGTGCTGTGCTGCTGACACCTGTGACAGTAAATGAAGATTTTATCCTTCTTTCAGAAACATATTGTCCCAAACATGGATGATTAATATTTTTATACACAATATACATGATTACGTGATTAGAGGTTTACTTTTTTTCTGGCTTTTTTTGCCTCAACACCTTACTGCAGACATCTTACTCTTGTATTAAAGGTTTAAAATCAGTGTAACATGGTTATGATATATACACACCGAAGAGTTGTGATGAGCACATGTACTTTATCATTGTTGTGAAGTGGCAGCTGTTTTGTGTCTAGTTTCCATGGATACCCTGTTGCTAGGCAGAGGTAAGCCCCTGACCAATGAACCCACCCCACCAAGTGCCTTCTGTTCAGCAGTTGTGCGGGAGGGAGTCAGAGTCAGCAAAGTCACACAATGAGAGGGCACACACACACACACACACATGTATGCACACACTCACACCAGACAGAGATTTGTGAAACCACATGCAAATTCATCCATTTGTTTGGGATTTGCATGCATATGTAAATATAAATCTCTGGCATTGCGTTTTTTCTTTCTGTAATATGTGAATAAATAAATAAACTGCAGTGTGCACACGTTGCAAACTTATGTATGTATTTTATACTAACCATTTTTCATAAAAACAGTCAAAGCTCAATTACTCTGCAACACACACAGACACACACAGATACACAGACCCCCTTTTCTGAACTCAGACATCATTAATGTTCCATTCAGGCTAATCATCCTTTTATAGGGATTGATTGTATTCAGGCATTCTCGCATCCTGTGTAATTCTGTGTGTGGTTGCGTGAGTGTCAGTCATATCTAGGGTTATATTCAAATCAATACTTTGCCGTGAGAGAGACTGTTTTCAGCGGCACTACGTCTGTTGTTGTTACCTCAGTGCTCTTATTGTTGGAACCGCTGGCACAGAATGAAATGCATAAGTACACATAACTATGCTTGTGTATTTAGAGAATGCCATTATCTGTGTGTCAGGGTATGTGCTAATTTTGCTGTCCCCCAAAAGGAAAAGCTTGCAGCGGAGGTTGTGGTAGCTTCATTTTTCTCTTGTCTTCATGTTTTTTCTCCCTCTTTGAAATGTAAACTGATATATTTCAGTACATTTCAAAATGTCTCATTCTTTTGCATCACATATTATGGGTTTATTATTCATATTTACCTGTGTATGAGACCCTGTGCACCTACCTTCCCTCTCTTTCTGTTTTAGGACGAGTGAGGACATAGCAACAGAAGGCAAGCATTTACGTATGGGATCTTTTACAATGCCAGACCCCCAGGAACACATGCCTATGGCTCACCCTCATGCCCTTGCCTGTGAGCAGGGCTTCTCCATACGATCCCAGTCCCTCCACTCTGTCGGTGGTGGGAACAGTGGGGGTGGAGGAGAGGAGGAAGTGGGAAGCCCAACTTCTAGGAAGCAGCCTCCACCAAAGCCCAGGAGGGACCCAGCTACCAAGCTGAGCATGTCGTCTGAGGCAGTGGACCACAGTTCTGTGTCCACCTGCCGTGGGGAGAGATGTGACGGTGAGTGGTGGTGGCACTTCATACCAAAGAGCTGTGCTATATATAGCTGCTCTCTCATTTCATGACATCTAGCCATCCACTGCATAATTCAACTAAGTACCATACTGGCATATTGTTAAAGAAACATTAATAATATTTTAAGTACAAAGGGGTTAAACCATAGTTAAAACATGTTGGGTGTAATAATAGAGGTAACATCCTGCAAATCAGTAACATGCTTAGAAGATGTGTCAGAATCTGGATACATCTGACTTTAGCATGCTTGAATAGCTGCACAAAGCACATATATTCCAGGTTTATGAAATGCACAGACTATAGAGCAATTTAGGATGCTAACATCTACTGTGTAGTGCATAGTTGTAACTTGTAGTTTGTCTGTTTTCATTGTGCTCTTTTACAGTTTAAAATAGCGTAGTAACTTGTTGAGCAAAGAGAGAAAGATATCATATAGTGATGTATATGAATCACTGCTACATTTGTTGGGCTTTTTACAAGCTCTGAACTTTAGAAAATGCACCCTCATACACAAATCTGTGCTTGAAATAGCTTCTATGCAAGGCCTTGGCAGATTTAGTTTACTGTGGAATTTAATGGTAGCTCTGATAACTGCCAATCTTGAGAATCTCATGTATATTAACATCTGGTGTTAATGTATACATGATCTTTTGCTCAAAGAGTAGATCTGGCTTCTGTCACGGTTCCTGTTGTTGAGAGTAACGTCCTGATAGTAACAAGGTTTGTGTATTAAGTTGAAACTTCTGTAACCCATGCAGATGGATCAAAGGTTATCAGTCACACAGTCAGCTGTCAAAGCTGCTTTCATTGCACATATAAAAAAAGCAGATGTCCCCTGATATTTTCATAACCTTGTTTAAAAAAAATGAATTACTTCAATAATACCAATAAAGGACAACATACTTTATATTCAAGTAAAAACTGGCAAAACAAAAATGTAGAGCTTCCTTGATCGAGGTCCAGAGGAAGCATTCAATCAGTCCAGTCAGTTTTCTGAAGCAAAATAAACAAGCACAATGTGCCTGTTCAGCCATGGATGATAAAGAGGGCATAACTATCAACGCAGTGTATGAAAATCTTTAATGGAAAAAATAGGAAGCTGAAGGAATGTTTTGTCTCAGCAATCCACAGATTCGGTCACAGCTGTATAGCAAATGCACAGTGCACAGTACTTTCATTTTTAGAAAAGAATCAGTACGTGGTACGGTACATAACAAACATGACCTGAAAAATAAAACAGAAATATAAAATAAAGGTCTATGTGGCAAGAAACTGTTGCAGCAAAGAGATATAGAGGCTGCGGGGAGCTTTGACTCCATTTCGGTTTGGAAGCCATCTGCCAACATGATGTTGAGAGAGTCGCCCAGCCTGGCTCAGATTGGTGGGAATCTCTCTGTGTGCACACAGATCTTCCTGGGTGCCACGGCAACCATCCCACAGAAACAAGACCCCCTGCAGCCCAGCCAATCACAGCATCACTGAGCAGCTCAGGCCAGTGGGGCTCCAGAGATGCTGCAGTCTGAGGCTTCTGAGCCAATCAGAGTGAGCGTGTGGGGGTGTCCCTGGCTGAGGGGAGGGTTGTGTGCTCTGTAGCTGGCGTTGTAGCAGAAAGGGGAGGAGTTTGTCAAAGTAGAACTCATTCAGGAGGAGCGATTGACCTAGATTCGTTTTCCCCAGGAGGAGAGGGAGGGAGAACGGATTGCGGGTAAACACATCCACTACAGGGGGAGGGGGGACAAGAGGGAGCTGTAGAGACAGGAGAAGAGAAGGGACAGGGAATAAAAGATGCTTGGAGGGATAGATTCATCATCGGTGCTAAAACAGATCTCAGTATCCACCGTGCAAACCTGTTAGTGTAGTAATCTATTTGGCATCTGTGGGAAAGAGGCATATCTATTGAGTATGTATTACCATATGCACACAAAGAAAGGGAGAGAAAGCGCACACAAGAATGTTAGCACTATATCAGCCCAATTAAATGCATCAGAAACACATCTGGCTTGAACCAGATCTTCTATTAACACCCTATTAATTAGTGGTAATGAGCAGAAAATGTGGAACCAAAAGGCCTGTTTCATCTTAAGTGCAAATTATCATCGTTGACATCAACATCAGCTTGGATAAATGTGTGGCATGCAAAATACCAGTGCAAAACAAAATTAAATGCTCTGAGTAGATTTTTAGTCTTAAGCTTTGTTGTACTAGATTTTCTTGATTTTAAATTCAATGTTTTTTGCTAGTTATTTTCTCAACTTATTTAAAAGACTGGATCCATAGATTCCTATCTAACTTTCAGCCAGAATATACATCAAAACCAAACATTCATATGTGACAGGAAAAAAACTTTGGCAAACACCTACACAGTTTTCTAGAAAGATTCACTTCATAAGTTGTGACACTGTGTGATAAAATGTGCACATACTTGTCCTAATCTTCCTTTCCGAATATGAAGGAATGTGCATATGTGTTCATGCAAATGACCATGATGGTGGTGAGTCATGCAACTACAGGAAGTGAACCATCTATTGAATTATTAAAGGTGTAAAATCTGCTGTTTGAAGATATCAGCCATGGCCTGGCTTTTACACTCATCTCTCCTTACAAATCAGAAAAAGGGATAGTACTAATCAAACATCTCAGTATCTGACCTGTGAGCAACTCAGTGGTATAGAGCACCGTCTACTAAGTAAACTAGCACTGGGACCTTACTGTGCAGTGTATAGTCAGCGTGAACATAGCACCATAGCGCCATCAAAGAGATTCATCCTCCAGTGCTACATCACCACTATCAGAAAGAATCTCTACAGTGTGTGACCCAGATAATATACTCACATACTAGTCCGCTGCTATATATGTGACCTAGAAACATGCATATAACGCAGCTATTCCCACATATCTGAGTCAAGATATTGCTCTGAGCTATACACATTGAACCACGTGACCCACAGAACTGCAGCAGGCTTTATTTTAATGATAATGAGTCACTGAATGATAAATGATACACAGAATACACAACAACAATGTATCACAATACAATATCAGTCAGAATGACGACATAAAAGTCAGCAAATGAATAAACCATACAAGAGACACGTATTCATTATCTTATGGTGCTTATGAATGTGATTTTCTCCAATGGATTTGTGTTTAGACTTTTTTTTCTCTAACCCTTAGCAGCTCAAGGATGCAGTGAGGACTGCAGGAGGGTGCCACCACCCAAACCTAAGAGGAACCCCAACACACAACTGAGCTTTTCCTTTGATGAGTCCTACATCAAGAGTCACGGGGTTAGTGGGGTTTGCTCATCTAGACCTCTCCACTATGTCACTTCCCCCTGCGAACACAACCCCTCACCTCCACACAGTGATGACAGCCCCATAGATGACTGCGAAGATGAACCAGTCTACATAGAGATGGGCGGGATTGATGTTGGAGCACGAGAACCCCTGAAGAGTGAGGATGAGGAGCCAGGAGAGTCTGTGTATGAGGAGATGAAATACCCAGCTCTAGATGATATGGAGTACCGTACTGATCCCGTGGGGTGCCGCTCTGCTTGCCCCACCCCAGCACCCTATGATCCTGAACCTCTCAGCCGCTGCTCCACACCTCGAAACATTCCCCTCTGTGACATTCCTGCACCTTTTCCCAATTTACTCACCCATCGGCCTCCATTGTTGGTGTTCCCACCAGCACCAGCCCAGCGTTCACCCAACTCAGACGAGTCTCCCCTCACCCCTTTAGATGTAAACAAACTGCCCATGATGGACAATCAATCCTATAGCAAATCCCCAACATCTTCCTCTGAGCCTGCCTCCTCTGCACATAACCGACGGGAGCTCACTGCCACCCCAACCCTCACCATCTCAGGGCGCTCCTCTGCACCTCCTCTACCCTGTGCCCTCTACAAATCCTGCTCCACATCATCCTATCAGCGTAGCCACTCTGCTTGCCCATCGCCAGTCAGCATGGGCCGCTGTCTCACGCCTCTGAGCCTCATGCGTACAGCTCCCTTTGACGCTCCACTGCCATTCCCTGGGGGTCTCCCACGGAGTGCCTCTGCCACCCCTCATGGCAAAGGCTCACCACCTCAAGACAGTGCAGGTCGACTCCATGGTTCTATGCAGAATGTGTCTGCAGGGCGCTCAAGGACACCCACCAGCCCACTGGACGAACTAACCAACCTGTTCACCACAGGCCGGAATATGCTGAAGAAAAATTCCAGTGGTAGAAAGTCTAAAGAACCTGGAGAGAGTGAGTCATTCCACGCATTTGTTTTTATCATTCTAGGATGTAGCAAAGCAAAGGGCATAAACACGTCCTTGAATTTATTTATGTGTCTCATTTCTGGAGAGCGTAGACAGCTTATAACTGCATGTCCTTGGAGAAACCCTACCAACACTAGACATGAGTTGCAAAGGCTGAAGACCAGGAATCACATTCCAAAGTGTCCATGAAAGACACAGACAGCATCCAAGTCTAAATGCTTTGACTGCAGTAAACTCCTAAGAAAAAACAAAAAAGTAGTTTTCAGTTCCTTAACTAGTGATAGGGTAAATTATCCCTGTTCTGGTTTAACACATCCTACCCTGGCTTTAAAGAGAATACATCACTTTTACAGTACCATGTTTGTGGCACTCTCTGTATTTCATCTAGCCTCAGCAAGCCAATTTTGATACAGATCATATGATTTAATCTGAGGGGATTAGAGAATAAAGCAGTGGCATTAGTCCATCAGGCAGCATTACTTATAAATACGTAAGCATAATATTTAAATACAGATAGCCCTGCCATGCTCAAAACACTGCCAAAATCAATGCAACTGTAAAAGAAAACACTGTGTGCACAATGTTTACAAAAAAGATGTAAACTGTAAATCACTTTGCTGGCATTTTGAGTCACAGTGTGAGATGCCAGCAGCTTCATCAGTCAGATCAGTCAGTCATACATGAACATTCTTCTTCTTATGCAAAATACAACCATTATTTTGTGTGAAAATAACCATTTTAACCTTGAATATTTTGAAATGGAATGTACTTAGTGTAAATGACTAAAAACTAATCACTGCAGGCACTAAACCAAGCTATTGGGCATTTGATTAATACATGAAGTGTAGTGTTAGAGGCATGTCATACATTATTTTAAATTAACATTATCTAATAACTTTGAGAGGTTTTACAATGAATTTTACCCTATGGCTGATATAAACCTCCAACTATATCCCACCTCTGAGATGAGCTCTGCAGCTGAAAAGAATAAAGGAAATAAATAAATAAAACTCTGCTCCAAAATACATTTATTCGAGTGCATTTTGTGCATAAATCATAAAAGAACTACAGAGTTGGTACATCTATCCTTACTCTACGCTCTTAGCAACTGCATCATAGCAACAGTGGATGGAGGAGAAATTCTTCTTTCTTATTTGCAGATTCCCTCCCCATGGCTAATGCAACCAATCACAGCTCAGGGCATGCTGGTCTACAAGAGAGCAAGGCGCTCCAGACTGGGATAGCTATGGCTCTCAGCTCAAATCTTTACCTGATCAGAGGATTTCAGATTCTCTTTTCTGTCCAATCAGCACATACTGCACTCATGATTAAGCCAATTGTGTAGCTGGGCCAGCTTTGCAGAAGTGGGGGAGTGGAAGCTGAGGCAATTTACTGATACAGTTGGTGCACATTTGCTGTTTAATACTGTGATTTCTATAAACTTTCTAATGAATGTCTTACACTAAGTGAATGTTAGATAGTCAAAGGTTGCATTTAGGTGCCAGGAATTCACATTAATGTCTCACCAGTGAGCCCTGTTCTCTAGTCCCACATGGTTTGTAAAGTGTTTGCATGTGTTCTCTATACATCAGTGTATTGGGCTGTGTAGACAGACCTTTTTCATTTTTTTATGTTTATCCTAACACCTGTGGGGCTAAACCATTGGCAGGTTTTACATTTTGCTCTGTTATTGGCTACAAGTGCATAAAGTGTAATGAGTGCACAAAAGTAACACAATGAATGGAGGTACATTTTTGTTATCTTCCTTTCTGAGGCAATAAAGGCAGCAGCAGCTAGACTGACCCACTTACTAACTGGTTAAATCGCCACACTCACTCTCTTTACACACACATGGAACTGCACACACTAAAAAGCTAAGTATGACAAATGTGGCATCTTTACTAAAACATTGTAGTGTCTGTCATTAGACACTATCATTAGTGGGCAATGAAATGTTCTGATGCCTTTGAGCCCACATCTACTGCTGTAAACTCCAGTGGTTTACAGCAGCTGCCCCAGTGAGTACCGAGTGACACCTAGTGGAAATTTAATAGCAGTGCAGAAACTTGTAGCAAAATACTGTACTATTTAATGATCACTGATATTTTTTCACCAATATGCATATAATAAGTTTGGGTGTTAGAATCATTTAAATATTTTCTTTCTGAATAGTTTTACCCTGTTCTTTTACAGCTGAGTCCAAAAGCAAGTCTCACAGTGAGTCCAAGCGTGAAGGCAAAGAGCGCCACAGTCACAGTCACAGTAAGGAGTCCAAACGAGATTCCAAAGAGCCCCACAGCAAAGAGGTTTCTCACAGGAGAGACAGAAACAAAGACAAAGACAGAGGGAGCAGCAAGGCTGAGCAAATGCCCAACAGATGCAACAGTAAAGACCACAGTTGTAGCAGTGTAGAAGCACCACCTGTTCGCAGGGATAGCAGGGACCAGGGCTGCAGCAGTGTAGAGCCCATCCCTGTGAGACAGGACTCCAAAGACAGGGGCTGCAGCTCCTTAGAACCCATCCCTTTGTTAAGAAGAGACTCCAAGGACAGAGGGGTCAGCAATGGTGACCTGATGCCAAGGAGAGACAGCAAAGATCGGAGCGGAGGACATGGAATGGAGTCGTTGCTGAGACAGGACAGCAAAGACAGAGATAGACTGCTAGATCAGCCACCCGAGTTGTTACCACGACAAGACAGCAAGGAAAGGGCGAGAAACAGCATAGACGCTAGACACGAAAGCAGAGAGAAACTGTTGGATCAGCCACCTGAGTTCTTACCCCAACAGGATAGCAAAGAGAGAGCCAGGAACGGTATGGACTCAAAGCATGAAAGCAGAGACAGGCCACCTGAGCTTCTACCCCGACAGGAAAGCAAAGACAGAGCTAGAACTGGAGCAGAATATAAGCATGATAGCAAGGACCATCGTCCTGAATTTTTATCCCAACAGGATAGCAAAGAAAGGGCAAGGAATGATATGGAATATAGACATGAAGGTAGAATAGATCAGCCACCTGAGATACTACCCCGACAAGAAACATCCAGAAGCAGCAACAGCAAAGACAGGGTTGGCAACAGCTTTGAATTCAAGCATGAAGGAAGGGAGCGGAGCTTTCACAATGGAGGAGATCTTCCTCCTCCACCTCTTCCCAGGCAGGACAGTAAAGATCTGAGCAGAACCGGCCTCGAGGTGAGACGGGACAGCAAAGACAGAAGTCTGAATGGCTCAGAGCAGCATCATTATGATGTGAAAAACACCAAGCCCCCCTGTGCAATGGAGTATAGGTGTGATAACAAAGAAAAGGGATACAGAGCAGATGGCACACCCCGACGAGATAACAGAGCAAATTACAGCTTGGACCAATCAAAAGCACAAAAGAGGATTGACAGCACAATGTCAGGGCAGCATTCAACCACAACAACACCTACTCACCACAGAAGATCATCTGGTAGCCCACCAGTGACCACGGGAACAGGAAATGGTGAGAGTTAAAACCTCAAATTCAGACTCTAACATTAAACATTAAATTGAATTATATGTTGCAACATAAAGTGTCCAGATTTCATTACATATGACAAAAGGTTGACTTGTCCTTCCTTTGTAGATATGAAAGCAGTACCAAAGTATGGCCGCTCACCTTCTTTGCCTGCTAACCCCTCACCAGTGGGAACTCCACAAAGGAGAGCATCAGAGACCCATCACAGTCAGGCATGTAGATTTGTTTGATTTCCTCTAAAGGACAAGGCCTGTTTCTACATTAACAGTATTTTCAACACACTCCATAAAGAGACTAAAACCAATGATTTGCCACTACTCACGATTAATGCCCATCAGTGTGTCAGTCATGGATCAGCTTGCTCGACTGTGCCGCAGACCGCTACTGTTGTTCAGAAAAGATTAAATACACTTCAGTGAAACAAACTGCTGCACTGGGTGACATATTTCTTAATTTGCAAAGCTGAGAGCTCGTGTGCGATTTTGTTGTTCCCGCTATCTTCAGGAAATTATGGCCGCTCGGAGCCTTTGGGCCAACATAATCAGGTCTGGGGTTTCGTAATGAAAACGTGTCACCCATTGCAGTGATGTGTTTCCCTGATGTTTTAAATCATTTTTGAACAACAGTGGAGATCTGTCACACAGATGAACAACATAACCCAGGACTGACATCTGACAGACATTAACTGTGAGACAATTTATTGTTGGCTTTAGTCTCTGTATGGAGATTGCTGAAGATACTATTAATACAGAAAATGATCAGCCTTATCCTTAACAGTATTTTTAGCCTGTCACAGGTCTTTTACCTTCTTATGAGCACACAACTTGGAACACTACTCAGTTTCACTTAAGATATGTATTCTTTATCTTTTTCGTGCTCTTCTAACTGGTTTGATTACTTCATGTCATGCACTGACTCTGTGTCCAGATGCCCCAGATGCCATGGATATGTGGAGACGCCACTATGCTAGAACAGATCGAGAGGAAACGAACCCTATGTATGGAGATCCGCTCCAGACAGCATCCGCACCTACAGAGATCCACAGAGAGGTCTCCCCCTCCTCCTCCAGACAGGAGTGAGGACAGGCACCAGGAGCGGAATCAGTGCAAGCAAGAAAATGCATCTTTCCTCCCAAGCTGGGGGAAAAGCAGTGGGGCTAAAAAGCTCCGTCCTCCTCCTTACCCCACACAGACAACTGTATTCTGGGACACAGCCATCTGACAGTAAAAATGCACCTTCCTGCCACACAAAACCCCAATGATGCCCCCTTCCTCTTTCCTCTGGGTTGTGCTGATTCTTCCTTGCAACATCAGTGACATCGGGACAGCCAATAAGAGCACTGGAGGGATGATAATCGTTGATGTCAAAGGACAATGGTGGTTACCACAGCAATATTTCTGCTTGTTCAGGTTGTCATGTTTTCTTATCATCACTGGTGATAATTGATATTTTTCTATTTTCTGTGACTGTATTCTTGTAATATAATTAGTAGAATAGATATTTGATGAATAGGTATTTTCTAAATGAGATGGGAATTAAAAAGCAGCATAAAGTAAGTATAGAAGATGTAGATGTTTGTTTTTATGTTATTTTTGTGTTGGTTATTTAACATTTGAAACCATAATCTATGAATACTTATACTGTAGTAGCAGAATTTTCTTATGCCCAGCTCTTTGTTGTGCTCCACCTGCACTAAAATGAATGGACTATTCAATTCTGTCTTTATATACTTTACATTTTCACTGTTGTATTGTAAGTTGAGGCGTTAACGTCAAACGTGCTTTAGGTTCGAGCTCCCTGTATGCCTGGTCCAGTATGTTGTAGAATGTACAACAGTTGGTCCTAGAACAGAAACAGGAAACTTTGTGTGCTTCAGTTTGTATATTACAGTAAGAAGCTGTGTATTCACTACATCAAAGCCTTTTGAAGCAGCTGAATATACTGTAAGTAAACCTGGTGGCTGGCATGTTGTAGAGGACAGAGAAAAGGTGAAGTGTTTCTGTTAAGATACACGGAGGGTAGGATGAGAAGGTAGTAAATTATAACATACATCATACAACATACGGTATCATTTCCCAAACCAGCCAAAGCCTGTAAAAGAGAAATATGGCTGTGGTTGCACTTTGGACGTTGGGTTATTTGAAATGGGGCTGGTGGCAGTAGCTGGTGCCAGCGCCTTCACTTTTCCACGCACACTGCGAGCACCATGACACAGTGTAAATACTTGATGCCAACGACCAGCCCGTACAATCAACACCTGAGCTTTTAGAGCATTTCTTAATTTTATTGCAGATTATAATAGCCATATGCACTTGCTTAAGAAATCACTATCAAGATTATGCTTATATATATATTTTTGAAAATGTTATGAGTAGTGAGATGTGCCATGGAAGTTTTAATTTACTGGCTGGGAGGTAAAGCCTCAGGAGACTGACTGTGTGTGACATACAGTCATCTATGGGTGGTTGTCTCTGACAGTAGTTCCAATTTGATTGGCTGGCAACCGTTTATAGAGATCAAATTGTTTAAGGACCTATCACATGGCAACATCTCTGACCAGTGAAAAGGACAGGGGTTGCATACAGGCCTACCAATATTTGAGGCCTTGTTTAAAAATTTAAAAAATCTAAAAACTGCACTACCCATTTTCTTCCATCACATTTAATCAGGCTGGTTACATTCACGCCCCTCTCCCTCTACCTCAGCCTCTTGCTTACATTATCTAAATTGGTTCTCCTTGCACATTAAAATGCAATTTTGACATTGCCAAAATAGTATGAGTTTGACAAATGAGCTAGCCCTCAGAGTACAAGTGCAGTACCCCCTCTCTGGTGAGAATCATTGCTACTGTACAGAGGTCCCTCTGTGTTGTACCTGTATGTGTGTGTGAGTGGGAGAGCTGTGTGTGTTGTGCGTGCCAAGCAACACTGTATGCAAGTCGAATCTTTAAAATGATTGTTTTAAGGCATTCACTTTGCCCTATCCATGACGTTGGTGGAGGTCGGAAATGTAATAATGATGATGTACAATCGTTTCGTGTGTATAAACGTGCACTGTGAAAAGGTAGAGAGAGCACCACACTGTCAGAGTCCTCTGTCTTATTGCACTGAGTGTTCTCTTGTTTTGCGTAATAAAAAAAAGAAAAGGAAAAACATGTTTGAGGAAAAAAGTACTGTATTCTGATTGTCACTTGGGTTTTGTTGAGAGAAATAAATAAATATGAACTTGAAACCTGATATGGAAGAACTGTATCCTGTAGAAATTATTTATTTTTTCTTATCCTGGGAATTCTGAATGTAGGTTGTAGTGTTGTCAACCACAACAGCTACTGTATTGAATGTTTACATTTTTTAAAACATTTTAACTGAGGAACACAAGTTCTTTTGAATATTTCTCTGTAGAAGGTTTAGCGAATACAAAATGAGCAGCAACAATAAAACATCTTCATCATTAGAAATAACACCTCATATGTATCACAAGATATAGTAACAGCAAAATTATATAACACTGCATTAACTGTAGAGCTGTATTTTTGTAAACAGATGTCACCAAATTTCTAAATATAAACTTGAGTGATGATAAGAATTAGGTTTTCAAAATGGAATGGCTTAATATGGCTTAAAAATAATTAAACTTACAACCTTTATTAGCCTCTGAGGCAGACATGACACTGACTGGCCTTGCGTCGCTGTTGGTCAGCTGCTTTGATGGTGTCAGTCCTTGGGGTGGTAAACTGTTCTGTGTGAGCCACTGTAGTCAGCCAAAAACTGTAGAGGTTGGCAAAGTAGTGACAGGAGCCTCGCGCGCCCTGGCACTCTATGGAGGGGTGAGTTCTGAAATCCTTAAGGCAGCTGCCAGAAGACGTCAGAGCCTGACCACCACCTTTGTCACCCGCCCCAGTTTGCTGAAGACAAGAAGGCACATTCAGGGTTTTTGACAGCATTTTTCTTTTATACGCAATCAAACCTTTGATTGCACTCACCAGGAGGAAAGAGTACCCTGTCCACAGACTCCTCCAGCCAGGTGGGCATGCAGGGACTGTGTGATCCTGGCTGTGAAAAGCAACTGCAGGCCAAAGTGTCTCACACACAACGCAACGGCTTATGTGGGAGATAATCTCCTGGCCAAAGAGTGGCATCATGGGTATGGGAGCAGTGGTGGAGAGCCAGCAGGATTTGTCGTTGCGACTAGAGTAGTGACAGGCAGCGTTGTTGCAGTAGGAGAAAGGCATAGTAGAGAAAATGGGGAGGCAGGAGCCAGCCTGGCCTACAGGGAGAGGGAGTGGGCAAATGAAGGAAAAGAAGGTAAAAGAGTTTTTTTGTATAAATAAACTTGAAAATACCAACAAAAATATCACTTTATGCAGCCCCTTACCCAGATCTTGTGTGTGAGCCTTCTTTTGTCCCTCCAGGTAGACAAGACTGTAGCCTGTCCAAAGCAGACTACTGCCTTCAGGGCACTGTGGCACCTGAACTGACTGGCTGTGGACAACCAAAAGTAAGCCTGACTTCGACAACCGCCTATAGCCTGGCTCACCTGGATCACCTGAAGGACCTGGGGTACCTGGAGGTTGGAGAGGTTGAGGAAGTAGCAGGTGGGTGTCATGAGGATGGTTAAGAGCATGGAAAAACCAAAGCAGAGACGAAATCAGTTACTTGTTGTTTATTCAAAAGCTTTCTGTATAAATTCAGCATCTTGTTTAATAAGAAGCCCTGTTAATCTTGTGCAGTTTCTTGTGTAACAGACTGTTTTCATTATAGCCTTTTGGGATTGTTACATAATTACATCTGATTATTCACCTTGGGGTCCAATAAATCCTTGTGAACCAGTTTCTCCTGGGTCTCCAATCGGACCATTAGAACCAGGAGGACCTTTTAGGCCAGGAAGACCCATAGACCCTCTGGGACCCTTCACTCCTGTAACACACAAGACACACAAACAAGGACAAATCACTCTTATTAACAGTTAATCTGTGTATTTTTATATAACGGGATGACGGCAAACACCCCTAATGCAATAATTTGTGAATATTAACATTGATGATTTTTGTTGCCTTATGAAAACGCACAGGCAGCCTCTGTACCAGAGTCAAAGTCCTTGTGTGTTCAACATAATTCGCCAATAAAACTGATTCTGATTCAGACTCTGAGCATGTACACATATACAGAGAATACATTAGATTCTCTTACCTTTACGTCCTGGAGTCCCAGGAGGACCCACATCCCCAGGGAATCCCTGAGATCCTGGGAGACCTTGTGGTCCTGGGAATCCAGGGGGAGCTCTCCCTGGTGATTCACTGATAGAATCACCGGGAGGACCTTTGGCACCTGGGAAAACACATACACTGATTACCAGATGTAGTGTAGTAACACACAGTATACCACAACATATCAGTAGGGCTGAATAAGTGATAATAAATCATAAATTAATGATAGTGGAACAAATATCACATATATAGATCTCAAACTATTTTTTTATCTCATTGATTGAATTAATATTTTCTACTTGCCTCCCTGTCACAATGTTTTCTGCACATTCTACCATGAAACAAATCCTTAAAAGGATTTATAAAAAATACTAGTAAATATTTTCACTCGCAGTGGCACTCACCAATCTCTCCACGTGGACCAGTTTCTCCCTTGTGGCCTTGAGGCCCAGGAAAACCTTGCTGACCTTTGGGTCCTGGAGGACCCATGGGACCACTAGGACCTCTTTCACCTGTCAAAGTGCAGCAATAATTAAAGTGCAGTCAAGTGAATGGCAAGACTGTAAATACTGATGATAGCAGTCTGACACTGTAGTGTACCTTTTGGTCCAATAACGCCTGCATAGTTCTGAGATCCAGGAGGTCCTGGGAGGCCCTTATCTCCCTTACGGCCTGGCAAACCATGGAGACCAATTGGTCCTGGGTCTCCTTTGGAGAAGATGCTGCTGCCTGGAGGCCCCTGTAACCCAGGAGGACCTAATAATGCAATTAAAAAAAGCCAGTTATGGACAGACATGAAAAGGCACAAATACCCACAGTTAAACATAAACATGCATGAAAATCCATGTTCTGTTCTAAATGTGGCCACGCAAAGATGGAGATGAATACAGACAAGCAGATGAAAGGTCACACACATACACACCTGGGGGTCCTGAAGGCCCTCCGTATCCTATATCTCCATAGAGTCCTGGTGAAAGCGTGTGGCATTCTTTGCCAGGGTAACCAGGTTCACCTGGGAAGCCTGGATGTCCTGAAGGAAGAAATACACAGCAATGTAACATCTTATCTCATATATACAGAAACTGAACAATGAATGTAACCACTGTAACTGAACTTAATGAATGGAGAGTGAAAAAAGTCAGAGAGTGCAATGAAATCGTAACAACATAATACAATCTGAGTATTATTGCCCCACACCCTAATAAACTGGTGTAGTAGATGTACTATTGATATTACTAGATAGGATACCTGTGTCACCAGGTGGCCCTCTTGGCCCTTTAGGCCCAGGAAAAGAGGGTCCTGAAGGCCCTGGCAGGCCCTGGTGACCCTTGACTCCAGGAAAACCAGCTGGTCCTGGAGGGCCGGGGATTTCTGCTCCTTGAAGTGACAAATGAGGACATTTAAGACACAGTATTACAGTACATTGTAGCATGTGGTCGTGGTTACTCTTGTATAGCCTAAATGATACTAATTACAGTTTTTAGTATGAGTCAAGTTAACTCTTATTAATGAACAGGGTTCAGTTGACACATACTTCAGCATTTCTATTAAAGGCAAATTGTGAGTAACTGTGCAGAAAAAGCAAAACCAGTAGTTCACACACCATAAAAGATAATGGCTAAACTTATGCACCTTACCATTTGCTCCTTTCATCCCTTTTGGACCTCTAAGTCCATCCAATCCATCCAGACCGGGTGGTCCAGGGGGCCCTAGCATAAGACCATGATACTACTGTAAAAGATAAGCCCAATTTTCTAACAATCCCATGCAGAAACTAAAACCAAAAATAACATTCATGTAATCACCTTAACATCTGTGAACCCAGAAGCTGGTTAAAGTTACATGTATATTTGTCTGTGCCACAGACTTCCATTGTTGTCGACAAACTATGCTAACTATGTGCCTCATGTGCCTCATGTGCCTCACAGAAAATCTGAGCCCCATTCTTTTCCAAAAAGAGCTGATGTGGAGTTGACTTTTTTCTTACTACAGAGACTAAAAAGTGATGGCCATTCTTAGCCTTTGGAGCTCTTTTTTTTTGGAAAAAAGACAGCCCCCACATTTTTTGCAAGGAAGAAATGTGGTAGTCAGTGCAGACATTTGGCTCACTGGTGTGTTTTTAATAGTCTTTGGACAACAGTGGAGGTCTACAGGACAGATGGATAAGCTAAACTCCCAGTGGACATAATGTTAGTACCTGGAGGCCCATATGGGCCAGGTGGGCCCGGTGGTCCCAGACATCCATCATTGCCTGGAGGACCTGGAAACCCTGGAGAACCTGGTGGGCCATGAGGCCCAGGGAAACCTGTAGAGACACACACAAAAGAGCCCACACTAACACACATACATAAAGCCCAAAATTCTAATTACTCTAGTGAACAAGCATAAGTATACAATTTAAAAACTGGGAAATAATTTTTAATGGTTAAAGAAGCAAATATGAATTTGTACAAATCAAAATACTAAACATGAAGATAAGAGAAAAATCAGGCTGACTTGTTGCTACTGAATGACACAATATGTAGAGTACGCTGACGTGCTGATACACAGTGAACAAGCTTTTTATCATGCTTATAACCAGTACCCGAGGACAGGACAAATGTTCTTATTCTTCTCCTGAGTAATACCATGTCAATATTCCCAAGTGTAAGAGTGACAAACATCAGTATGGTTCCTTGAACTTATTGCTGCATTAAAATTGGCTTCCTTATTCAAATCTTCACTAGAAATCACCTGGTCCTCCTGGTCTTCCTGGTTCCCCGGGAATGCCTGGTTGTCCAGGCTGTCCAGGCCATCCACTGGACCCCGGGTCACCTGGATCTCCTGGACTCCCTCTGGGTGCTGGAGGAAATTATTTTGTGGTTATACATTTATTTCCAGTTATATCTCCACTTACTCCAAAGTTTAGGGAACTGACAAGAGGCTTAACTAGGGTTTTCTAGTCCTTCACCATCACTTAAAGTATTGTAAATAAGTAGGTCTTCTGTTCATTTTGGCATTCCTTTACACACCTCTAGGTCCATCCTCCCCTGGTAATCCTTTAGGTCCAGGTGGACCCAACTCTCCATAAGACTGTCCTGGCTCACCTAGAAAGAATTTGGAGAGGCTTTATAAGGTAGGTTCAGTCCAACAGAATGAAACATTTATGAAACTCAAACAGATTGGGTTTTATTGTTTTATATACAGAATCTAATGGTATTTGCATTCATAACAATATATCATACAGTTTTCTGATATACCTGATGAACTTGTCAGTGATACAAACTGCAGATTTGCATTTTAATATAAACTTTACATTTTCTCTCTGATATGAAATCAGCTATTATATACATCATAGTATAATAAAACCCATGACCTTGTCTTAAGACTCACCCTTTGCACCAAGAAATCCTGTCAGCCCTGGGATACCTATATGTCCTGTTGGCCCTGGATCTCCCTGTAACAATTTCACATCTTTCTGACTTATAATAAATGATCGATATTAAAGCCACATTCAAGTGTAAAGATATACATTTATTTATCTAGAACTGGCCAAAAACATAATGTAGCAAAAGTGGCTCAAAACCGCTATCCATTACGGAGAGCAGGGATTTACAGGAATTACTGTATATGCTGCTAGTGGCAACATAATTTGTTGTTTAAATCAATGTGACTCAGCTTTTTTGTGCATCTGGCTATAGAGTGATCAGATACCAAAATCTGTGTACTGAAAAATGAATACAATAAGCTGGGGTCATTGTGTACCAGATCTCCACCATGCCCAGGATACCCCCTTGGACCAGGGAAACCTTTGATTCCTGGGTGCCCAGGAGGTCCCGGTATTCCTGCCCTGCCTGGAGCACCAATGTTACCCTTAAACCCTGGTGGACCTGGCCACCCCTCAGGCCCTGTATCACCTGGCATTCCCCTTGCACCTTTGAAGCCTGTCAGTGACAAAATAAAAAATGATTTAGTTCTATAATTTATATCAACATCTCTATATCTTTATAGTTAAGTGACATCCTGCTAGCGAGAATCATCATATAAGAAACAGTGCCATTGCCTGCAAGTCCATGTTTGCCTGGTAGCCCCATCCTTCCAAAAAGTCCAAGTGGGCCTTTTGTTACATTCACAATCCTTGTTGGTCCCGGTAATCCTGGGGGACCCTGTAAACCTCAATAGACCACAAAGTTGAAATGTTCATGAAGTATACAGAAAGGACAATTCAGTACCATGAATAAAATAGTGATTATGTTGATTTATCTTTTTTCCTTCCTCAATCATCGTTATCTGGGTTTTTCTCTATATTTGTGTAGGGTATTGACCTTACTGTGTAAAGTGCCTTGAGATGTTGTGATTTGAAGCTATAGAAACAAAACTGAGTTGCACTGAACTTAATATTACAGTTGTACATACAGTATTCTGACTGTTTCAGAAGTTCTGTGAATGACCTGGTCAACCACAACTGTTTCCTATACATTACTTACAGTATATTTCTAGGTTATAGATTATAGCTTCTGAGACATTTTAGTCATGAATATTTATTACAACAAATAACTACAAAAAATCTTGTAGAAATTGCTGACCACATAGCATCTGGTAAGACTGAATATACCTAGTGAGACATGGTTAGTATACAGACTTACCTTTACTACCAGGTAGTCCAGGTTGTCCTGGGTCTCCTGGGTGACCATTAAAACCTCTCTCTCCCGGTTTACCTCTGGGTCCTGGAGGTCCAGGATGACCTGGTAAACCTCCTTCACCAGCCCTACCAGGATACCCCCTCTCACCTAGATGTTTTGAAATAAAAATTAGTTTTCAGGTAGTATGTACAGAGGTAACGATATAGTTTAGTGGGGTATCCTTTTTCCCCAAAGAGATGATGCAGGTTTAATCTTAACTGACCAGATGGTGTAAACAAGTAAGTTCATTAGTCCACCTTTCTGTCCTGGCCAGCCATCGATCCCAGGATCTCCTGGGGTGCCAGTGGTGCCTCTTGGTCCAGCTGAGCCTGACACACCAGGAGGACCAGGAAAACCTTGAGGTCCCCTCTGTCCATGACCAGGTGGACCTATATCCCCCTTTAAACCCTTCTGACCAGGGTAACCTGTGCAATGTTATAAAATTCAGTAAGAGAAATATGCTCCTGGATGGTTAGCTGGTGGCTACACAACAAAATGTACCCTGGTATTAATCTTGCCCACATTTTTAAGGGACATCCTGAGTGACACTATCACATCCATGATTTTGTGATCACCTGGTACTCCCCTCTGTCCAGGGTTTCCTGGATGTCCTGGAGGACCTGGAGGTGCCTGTAGGTCACACTCAGTACAGGGTGTGCCTGGGGGTCCAGTGGCACCAGGGTCACCATTGTCTCCTGGGTCTCCTTTACGGCCTGGTAGTCCAGGTTGGCCTTGTATGCCTGTGATTCCAAAACACCAATAGTTAATTTTAATGTTCAGCAATGAATGGGAAGTAAACACCAAGGACACTTACAATGTACTGCTTTATGTGATACATGCTACATTAACAAAACTCTACATTGTTGAGTGTTTTTTATGATGTTCAACTAAAGATAAATGAAACTGACCTGGAGACCCCGGGTTTCCTGGAAACCCACGAACTCCTTTTATACCTACATCCCCAAGGAGCCCATGTGGGCCCGGAGCACCTGGACTGGCAAAGAGGACATCTCCCGGGGCCCCCTTTATTCCTGGAAGTCCTGGCAATCCAGGAGGACCTGGAGGGCTGTCCAAGCTAATTCCACTGGGACCAGGGTCACCTGGATCCCCATCTAGACCTAAAGGTCCTGTTACAAATGAGAAAAAACTTTAAGTGTACAAACAATCTACCTAACTGTATAATTTCTTAATTATTAACTGATCATTTTTATGTATTATCTTGTGTGCTTGATGATCAACAAGCTGCAACCTGGGCCCAACAATAAAGATTGATAATTCTGTGTATAACTTTGATGTGAGGAGCCATTACCTGGTGGTCCAATCCCTCCAATTTCAGCATCATCACCTTTCATGCCTTTAGGGCCTGGGTGACCTTGAGATCCTGAGAGACCGTCTCTTCCTGGGTGACCTGGAATCCCTGGAATAGGCCAAATAAAAAGTTGAATTTCAACATGTATGAACAAGGATTTAACTGCCAAAAACCATGCTTTCTTCATTATGCATGACTTAGTACATCAAACAAATTCTGCAATCAACTTTTGAGCTGCTTGTAAATACAGCACTTGTAGTAGTAGTGTGAATTTATTTGATAATATGATTATGTAAGGTAATTTTTTTGCTCTCCTTTGATTCTGGAACACTGCCTTTCTTCCTGACCTTGTTCTAGAGCATATATAAGATGCAGCGTTTTTTTTTAAGGCAGAGCACCCAACTACATTTCAGTGTAGGAGAAGCATACTTGTTCCCTCTCATCAGTGTAGCAATCACCCTTAGCTAATACTTGTTATTTTTAAAGTTCCTCAGTCTAGTGAGGACTTTCTGAGATAACATGTTTAAGACTTACCTGCTGAAGCAGGCTTTTTTCCTTAGGACCAGGTGCTCCAATCTTGTCTTCATCACAGCATTTTTCAATTTCACCTAGTCACACAAACGCAACATGATTTTTTAGCCATGACACCTTGGTTCATTCTTGAAGGTGTGTGTGCTAACAGCAATGTGGAATTTATGAATTTAATCGGTCTCTGACCTGGAGGGCCTGGTCGTCCAGGAAATCCTGGAAGGCCAGGCAATCCCTGATCTCCTTTTGGCCCAGGTGGCCCCAGAGGGCCTGGAAAACCAGGACCTGGGGGTCCTACAAGCCCTGGAATCCCTTTGGGTCCAACAAAGCCAGGGTCACCTTTGGGACCAGGTAATCCTTCATATCCACCACCCTGGAAAATGTGTTACTTAATATGATAACTGCAGAACCAAATCAGAGTGCCACAAAGTGGCACTTATTTTTGTTTTCACATGTGCAGTATAATTAACCTGGGACGATTTAAAGATGAATTATACTATCTCTTCCCTGAATTACATTTACAGTATTTAAAATGTACACGCTTACTGGTGAGCCAGGGTCTCCTGAAGGGCCAGGTGGGCCATCCAGTCCTGGCCTGCCTGTGTTTCCAGGAGGGCCAAGATACCCAGGTACTCCTTGTTTACCCTTGGCACCTTTCAACAACAACAAAACTATAGATATTAGAATATAAATGTTTAGCAACTCTTTGTATTCTAATTTAGCCACAAGCACTAGTTGCCAACAGATAAATTCAACTTACTTTTATATTTTAGTCTCCACTGAAAAGACTTTGCAGAATATTATGATTTCTTCACTAGTAGTATTTGATGAACATAGCTGAAGTGTTACAACACATGCCATATAACCATGTACACTACTTTCTGCTAACAATCCCACAAAGCAATATTCCATAAAAATGAGAAAATAGCCAGTGAGCAGCTCTACAGTAGTTAGTGATGATGCCAAATGACAACAAGAATTTGTGCAGTAGCGACCAAAAGTGGAGTGACAGCATCGGATTGCCAATCAAAACTGTCAAATCAACTGAAATACACCTCTTTTTATATAATCAAATAACTTGTTAAAAGCAATCTTACCATAAAAATGACCACTTGTACATACATCTGCATGATAATGTCTTCCAAAAACAACAGAAGTGACCTCTGGGAAAAACTGAATGAATTTGTACTTTGATTTTTTAATTTGGCTCATGTCCCATCCACTAACATGAGTCGGTGGGATTTATGACATATACTGCAACCAGCCACTACAACCAGTCACAGTGGCTTTACTTCTGGGAGCTCTTAGCCTGTCCATTGTTTTTACAGTTTCATTTTGGATTTTTGTCTAAATGCTGCCCCTATGCACTGCTGTTATTGCACTTCTGGTTAGATGCTAAACTGCATTTTGTTGCCTTGTACTTGTACATGGGTAATGACAATAAAGTTTAATTGAATCAAATCAAATCTAATCTAATCTAATCTATGCTGTCAGATTGGTGAATGTATTTTCTTGATATCCTTCTATTTTGTCTATTTGCATTTGTTTTCTTAAGTTGAGCTCTCAGGGCCATCATACAAAAATGACAGAAAATAATATTTTATAACTATGATATTGACATGTTGATGTAGACTTCTTCCATCCTCTGTACAGTTTTGGCTTTAACAGATGCTCACCTTTAGCCTCTATCACAAAAGGTTCACCTTTCTGACCCTTCGGTCCCTTTAAACCAGCACTTCCTTGAAAACCCTGCAAGAAAACACAAAGTGAAATACAAAACCACTACAGATGTTTTAAGTCCTGCTATCCTTACCTGTGGTCCTCTTGGGCCCTCATCCCCTTTCAATCCTGGGTTCCCCATAAGTCCTTTAGTTCCAGGTAATCCTAGAGGTCCTGGATAACCAGGTGGACCAGGGGGCCCTATGCTTCCCTTGCTGAACCCACATTCACATTCCCCTGGACAACCTGTAGGTGATGGGATGGCAAAAATATTAGAGTGTGATGCAGGACCTTCATAAGCTGTAAAACTCTATGTAGTCATAGCATTACATACTAGAACATAAAAAATCTGTTTCTATCTCTAAGTTCAGCTCCAGTAAATTCCCAAAGTATGTTGGTGGAGAGTTCCTGCCTCAAGTGGAGGAGTTCAAGTATCTTGGGGTTTTGTTCACGAGTGAGGGAAGGATGGAACGGGAGATTGACAGGTGGATCGGTGCAGCTTCTGCAGTAATGTGGTTGATGTACTGGTCCGTCATGGTGAAGAAGGAGCTGAGCTGTAAGGCGAAGCTCTCGATTTACTGGTCAATCTACGTTCCGACTCTCACCTATGGTCATGAGCTTTGGGTCATGACCGAATGGGCAAGATTCCGGATACAGGCAGCCGAAATGAGCTTCCTCAGCAGGGTGGCTGGGCGCACCCTTAAAGACAGGGTGAGGAGCAGAGTCACCCGGGAGGAGCTCAGAATAGAACCGCTGCTCCACCACATCGAGAGGAGCCAGCTGAGGTAGCTCAGGCATCTGTTTCGGATGCCTCCTGGGCGCCTTCCTAGGGAGGTGTTCCAGGCATGTCCCACCGGGAGGAGGCCCCAGGTAAGACCCAGGACACGCTGGAGGGACTATGTCTCTCGACTGGCCGGGGAAAGCTTCAGCATTCCCCCGGAGGAGCTGAAGGAAGTGTCTGGGCATCTTTGCTTAGACTGCTGCCCCCGCGACCCGGTTCCGGATAAGCAGAGGAAAATGGATGGATGGATGTTGTTAGATTCTACAAAGGGTTAGTAAATATAGAGAAGAACAATTTTTGCTTATGTGATCAGCTATTGCACAGAAATGGCCCTAGATCACCTTTAATTCCTTTGAGCCCTTTGTTTCCAGGAGATCCTTTGGATCCTAGCTCGCCAGGGTCACCTGGGTAACTGGGCTCACAGTAGTAATCTGTGGGATCAACCGGCCACAGATATTGACCAACATATGGTGAACTGCATGTGATTTGAAATCAAATTTGAGTTCACTGATCAAAATGTAATTAAAAACTTACCTCCACATCCTAATCAGATCCCATCAAGTATGCCATACACATGCAAACACACACACAAAGAAAAGCCAGAATGTAAGTGCTACTGTAATTCAAATATTTATTTATTATATTATATACACCATATATTATTTATTCAAATAATGAAAGTATATCTGTGACTTTAACCAACACATAAAGGAAACACTTGAGCAGCAATTAATAAGCAGTGAGTACAGGTATACCTGGACGACCAGGAAGGCCTATGACACCTTTAGGTCCAGGGAGTCCTTTAGCTCCCTTTGGTCCTGGGAATGGATTGATTTCAAAGTTGTTATAGGGCCCTGGCTCTCCCTTGTATCCTTTTGGACCAGGTGGGCCTTGTGGACCAGGAAGACCTGGCTCCTCTAGGAAGGTATGAGAGAAAATGTGAAACTTCAGATTAGTTATAATCATGTTCATCAGACTTCTTCATTTTGAATGAAGTCTGCTTTGGTTCTCATTTGGATCACCTGACACCAAGGCTGGACTCTTACCTGGCACTGTTAATCCTGGTGGGCCAGGGGGTCCATGCAGGCCCATGTACCCAGGGTCACCTGGGAGTCCAGGCTGTCCTGGATGTCCATGGTCACCTTTAACACCTGAAACATAACAGACACAGAACTGTGAAAAAGTCAGAGTTCATCGCTGTCATTCAATAATCATGGTTGTTTTCTAACATAAAAGTCCTGCGATATTCAGAGAAATGTTTTTGTTATTTAGCCTTATTGCTATAAATGAGGTGGACAAAATAATAAAAACATCTGTTAGTATTGTGCCAACTGCTTGTAGCTATTAAAAATTCATGACAAAAATAAAAGTAAAATATTACTCATAATATTTCAGATTTTGTAAACTAAAAAAAAAATCCATTGACTAAAATTTGACTATAACAAGTACTATTTTGGTTAAAAGACTAAGGGCTATATTTTCCTGCAACAGGGCAGTGTTAAACTCCAGGCACAAGGTGAATATGGATGTGTGCAACAATGTTTTACATTTTTGGTGACCAGTCACAGTACACTTTCATGCGCAGCCAGGCATTTCCGGGAGCATTGTGAACAGGAGGCGGAATACATTATAGGGTGGAAAACATCGTGAGCAGGTGGAGTCAGGCCTGGCTTTACTTTTGACCAATCAAACCAGCTCCTCACATCCCTTTTAAAGAGCATGATGGAAACCTGACTGACTGATATCACTGATGTCAGGACATGGAAATATATTAGAGGAAAGATTCCTTCCCTGCCATCTTCTTCTCCTGCCATTTATGGACTCCATTCTTAGATTGACAATGACAAAACTATTTATGTAGAAGTACTGCACATAAATATTCACTCAGTAGTCTGCTAAAATCACTGACCAGCTTTTGTGCATGGAAGAAAGAAAGTCTCTGATCCTGTAACCAGCAGCAATTATATGGTGTAATTCACTCACAGCTGCATCTAGTGCGCGAGATCCACGGGGGTCTCGCATGTAACTTTACAAATGTTGTACTGTTTTTAAAACAATATAAAAATTATATTGTAGTTATTGCATTTATGGTGGATCTGACTATGGTCCACCAGAGTGCACAGCCAGTGGATGTGTCAGTAACTTTATCTCCTACATTCAAAAGCAATCATGCACCTGAGGAAAACTGCATAACGAGTGCAAATGAGGCGAGGCAGAAATTGCGCTGGCAGAAAAATAGAGCCCTAAGTCTAAAGCTGGATCAAAATCTATTTTAATATTGAGGAAGACCAAGGCTGTAAACTATTGGACTTTAATTCACGAAATATTTAAAAATCAAAAATCCATTCTTTGTAAGTGGGAAAACTTGAAAAATCGGTGGTGTATCAAACACATATTTGCCCCAGTAATGATGTGGTCTCACCTCTGACATCACTTCCATTGTGAACATACGATAGACCAGGAAGACCTGGATCTCCAGGGTATCCCTATTCAGTGCAAGGACAAAGAAAGAAAACTTCAGTCACAAGTAGAAAACACCAGTGATGTACATACAGTAATAGGAGATGAGAAGAGTGATTGGGGATCTGGTCACTCCTCTGGTCCAGGAAATGTGATTTTCAAACTAGTAGCAGAGGGAGCAGCAGACATGAACAGATTCACCACTTTTTTCCTATATTTACAGAATACCTGTAAGGGGAACCAAGGCTCTACAAAGATGCTGACAAGCATCTGTTCTGCTGAAGATTATAGATCCATATACATATCCTTTAAGCTTCTCTCCTAGTAGCCATCTACATTTCCATTTATAGAAACCTAGCTTGTTAACACCTGACATAAGTTTCCAAATTTTTGTTCAAACTGTCATGCGGAATGCTTTAATTTTTTATTCAATGCTCACCTTTGGCCCAGTTCTTCCAGTAAGGCCTGGAAGGCCTCTCTCTCCAGGGAAACCCTGAAAGTATATTTCAGTATATTTAACTTGAAAAGATGGTCAATGTATAAGAACATGTGAGAAGGTTTAAGCATTTTATAGGTCTACCTCAGGTCCTGTTGGTCCATGTGTACCTGTAAATCCCTGAAGACCCTTGAACAGAAACAGTGGGGTGAAAAATATTGTGCATTCATGTATAAATATGTGTCAAAAAACATTGGGCAGTCTGTTCTACAGTCCCCTACTCGAGGTCCAGGAAATCCAATGATTCCTTGTTCTCCTTTAATTTCTTCTATGTTGTAGTCTCCTGTAACACCCTGATAAGAAAAATAGAAAATTAAACAACTTTCTCTCCTTGTCAGACATTCAGTACTTGTATGTACTGTAACATATAGCATAAAACTCACTGTTCTTCCCCTTGGTCCACATGATCCAGGAAGACCTTGGTCTCCCTGAATAAATAAAAATTACAGCAGGAAAAGGCAGAGTTTGGTTTCCAACTTTTAAGATACAATACACTGCAACAAGATGATGTTGTTTGGATTGATTAAAATTAAGGGCCTGCCATAAAAACCTTAAAGACATGAATTAAGCTTCTGTAGGACCTAAAGCAATAGTCTGGTTTAAACATAAAGGGTGACCAGCAATGTGCCATTACCTTGTATCCTTTGAGTGGAAGAAAGTCTGGAGGAAATTCTACAACTTCTTCTGGTCCTTGTGGACCGGGCAGGCCTTGTTCACCCTGGAATATGGATTAAAAGAGGTAAAGACACTTTCAAAGTTGCAACCACTCAAGCACACATACCTCACAACTGCACATACACTGAGTAAAACCACAGCTGAATGTTGTCAAAGGCCAAATTTGTTTCTTACATCATCACCTTTGTCTCCTGCCAGTGATCCTCCAGGGTCACCCTACACAACAACCAAAAGTTTAGCATGATTTTGTGTTTGTTTGGATGTAGATGTGTATGTATGAAAGTAGTCTCTGTTACAGCCTGCACCTATCAAGACTGTGAAACAGGTGACTTACTGGTGGTCCTCTGCCACCTTTAGGACCTTCCAAGCCCTAAATAAAATCACACGCACACACAAACACATGTAGATATAAAGCACTGAATGTCCTCTTATGACATAGATTATGATTATTAGTGGTGGTCTAATATATTACTGCATATGCCATATGGGCACTAATATGCAGTAATATATGGTCTTCTAGTATAGTTACAACCTACATAATATATAATAAAAGTGAGAATTTTTTTTAAACCTCATATCCAGGAAGACCGGGAAGTCCAATGTGGCCTTTAGGCCCAGTGTCTCCTCGTCTTCCCTAAGTTAAAAAAACACACATAATCATATGTATCATAAAAGAGTAAATATTTAGTGCAAGCAGAAAGGGAGAGAGTTACTTCATGCTTTATTTATTAATTAATATAACGAACTAAAAAAACATACAGGTAGACCACGTTCTCCATCTTTCCCACGGTCCCCCTGGAATATAAAATTAACTGAAGATGAGAATGATGAAAAATCAAGATGGAAATTTACACAGACATGGTAAATTTTAAATAATTATGGAACTGCACAAACACAAAGGGGTTGTAACACTGGTAAAGATCCACCCATAACAATTTCAGCTTGTATAGTAAAGGAGAGCTTACAGAAAGTCCTGAAAGGGTAGCATTGTACAGAGGTTCTCCTTTAATTCCTTTAGGTCCAGGTAAACCCTAAAATGAAGAGACATTAAATGCTGACATTAGACACATCAGAAGAGGAGGAAAGAAGAGGAGTTCTACTCACCCGTGGCCCATGGAGACCATCCAAACCAGGAACACCAGGTACTCCTGGTCGACCCCTTGTCCCATTACAGCCATCTGCTCCTGGCAAACCAGGCTCACCACCTGGCCCAGGGTGGCCCTGAACAACACAGTGCAGTTATGGTGATGAAGTATGGTTGCAGAATGTTAGAAGTAGCAATTATAACTTTTATGACTCTATGTGAGAATAATAGAAATAATTTACGGCATTCAAGCATATGTTGCATTGTTTATTTTTTTTTCCTAATTATGTATTGCATGACATTGAACAACTCAAACATAAATGCTTTAGTGGTGAAGAGGTTGCAGTGTAATGAGAAGATCCAGGCCAACATCTGCTGCATGCCTTAATTCGCCCACTAGAGGGCACACCAGACACACACTTCAAATCACTGCACCATCTACTGTGGAGTCTCTAATATTATGTCTTGAATGTATGAACAGGACAGCTACACAACTGTGACCACTACATGGCATATTAACAAATGGAAAAGTGTACGATATTATCATAGGTATACGCTAAACTGCTTTTGAGAGATCATGGAAAGATACTTTTTCAGTTTAGTTATATGGGTTTTGGGAAATTGGTGCAGTCCCTTCAGAGGGTTACTGGTCTGTAGGAGATTATTATTGTCAGTGTGAGTTGTATGTGTCTTTTTCTGAGTTGTAGTTAAATGTACAACAATAATAGTTTACTCACATTTGAGCCACTATTACCAGAAAACCCAGGAGCACCAGTCTTGCCCTGAAATGTTTAAAAATAAAAAAATAAATAAATAAAGGGCAGCAATCATTCATTACTGGATTGGATTACATTATTCGTGTTCATGCTCACCCATTTTATCTATCATTGGCACTCCTTTATTTTTAATACATTCACTTATGTAGACTTATTTGAATCGTTAGTTGTATTAGCATGCCTTTCTGTGCAGTCTTGGTCTCAAGCACACAAACACAACATGCACATGAACATTTGCACTAACACGGTCTCCTTTGGGCCCCTCTGGGCCATGTGATCCTTCTGCTCCCCTCCTGCCTTTCTCTCCAGGTGGCCCTTCATGCCCCCTTGGTCCCGTATGTCCCCGGGTGCCTTGCTGACCTACCGTCCCTGGAGGCCCCTACATGGGGAAAAGTCAAGTATATAAAACCTTAGACTGCTGTTGTGAGTGATGTTGTTACTATAGGAACTGACTGCTGTTTGTCATTTATTGTTTGAAAGCATAACAGTATACCAGTAATGTTGGACTGTACAGATGCATTTTAGTGCCTAATAATCTAAATTTAGCACAGCCGAATCAAGTCATGGAATCCAATTTCCTAATTTTGTTTCTTTTTTCCTCTTTCTTGGCTGCTAGTCCTGCTAGGCATTCATTATTAAGACAGGGAAAATTTAAGATCCTTTTAAGAGAATTAAAAGGCAACATAAACCTTTTTGTACAGATGAATGTCTTTCTAACAAAGATAATGAACAAAAACTAAAAATACAAACCTTAACTATTGGGAGAGTAAGTAAGGACAGCTTGCCATCATATAACAATATACAGTAAGAAAGTTCATACCCGTGCACCTTTGGCAGGAAGACACTGACATACAGAGCAGTTTCTTCCTTGACAAGGGTCCTCGATTGCCCCCTGCAACAAGAAACAGACTAATTGTTTGCCTTAAATGCAGTAAGGCTGACCATTACTGTCTTTGAGAAAAAGACTGGCTGACCTGTAATGTACTAGCTACATACTGTCTTTCTGTCTGTTTGTGTGTGTCTCAGCAGAGCAGGTTGACAGCAAGAGGTTGGAAAACATCAGCTGGTACATCAGATAAGACTGTATTTTGGACACAGCGTGCATATATAGGGCTTTGAGAATGCACGTTTCCCTGTGAAGACTAACCACTGCTGATTAGAAAGTTAGAAACAAATCAATGTTTTAACATAGACTTGGGAAAGTCATGCCTTCTCTGACCTTGGTGATAAAGCTCTTGGAGCTTCCTCCAGAAAGGCCTTCTGTGAATCCACACCTCCAATGCCAAGTATTCCCACTGATGTCTATTCGTTAGTGTGTGTACTGGGAGTTTTTCAGTGTAGGGATCTGTGTCACAAACATTTAGCAATGTTTTCTTAGAGTTTACTAAATATTTGGATAAGTTTTTGCTGGTGAAATTGAAGTGTGTCTAACATCTGTTGATAAAACCTGTTCTTCTTTTTATTTTGGCCCAAACACTGATGGGAATGCAGCACTTGGTTTTGTCTTGGACAGGTCACTGAGATTCAGCACATCAGCCAAATAAGGAGCACACAGTGAGAAGTGAAACCACTGGCAGGCTGATATTTCTACATAAATGGTAAACAACAATTAGCATTAAGTTACATTCAACTCCTGCAACCAGACATTTTGAAAGACATCAGATTATTAAGTTTGCTGATGACTCTGTCATTGTGTCTCTGTTGAAAAATGATTACTTTGATCATAGACTTATAGTGGCAGAGTTTACAGACTGGTGTAATTTGCTATTCTTGGATAACAAATTACAAATTCTTGGAACATATGGATGCTGGCTGTTAGAAAGCATGCATTTTTACTGAAAGCTTAAAGGTTTTGAAGTTGATAGTGTTCTTATGATAAATGTTTTATTCTTATTTTATTGAGCTTTTTTTTATTTGCTTGTAATGGGTCATTCCTTATTAGGAACAGGAATGGACTACAAAGTACTGTAAAAGTGTGTAGTAAAATACCTGGAATAACCCTGAACAACCCCTCTGACCTGTATAGGTTTTGTAAGGCCCAATTCTAACCACCCTTTCTTTAAAGAATTTAAGATGCTCCCATGTGGTCGCAGATACAGTATGATATAATGCATGACTAATAGACCTAAAAACTCCCAGCTGCTATTGTACTATGTAATTCAGTGTTTTTGTCTATTGTTATTATTGGGTGGATGGTGACTGTTTTTGCTACAGGCTGTACAACAAATTGTTTTTAGCAGATAATAAAGGGAAACCAATCAATCAATCAATCAATCAAAACAACTTCAGACATCCGGAGTTGGTGGCTCACTGGAGTAAGTAACAGAGAGATACTGACCAGCAAAGGTTTATTCGAGTCTGTGGACTCCAGTGTTGTGCATGAACGCACCTTTTTTTTTTTTTCATAAAACGGTGAACTGAAGGGATCACTTTTCAACTAAATAACTTGAACATCAAGTCATTACCATGCAGGGTGGTGGAGGTGAGTGCCAAAAGGGCACATTCAGTACAGAGAGTGACTGTAACATCACTATGCATCCAAGCCACCCAAATTATGGTTGGAATAAAGTTAGGTTCAGATTAAGGTAGCCTATTAAGGGGAAACATCTCAATAGGGAAAATATTTCATCACAGCACCGGGGTGTAGCTACTGCACTACAAATAGCAGTGCATCCAAAGGTATGTAACAAACTGCCAATAGAAAATGTGGCATAAGTGCTGACCATCCTAGTTCCCTAGTCTCGCTGAAACAGCTGGAAGACAGCTTTGTGCAACACTTTGTGGAGGCCAGCAAACAAACCACACGCACATATGCAAAACTAACCACTTAGTCACCACCGTTAAAGTCTTTTCTTCCATAATACCAAACCACTGTGTGTGAAAATGCTTCCAGTAAAAGACAAATCTTACGTGTGGCTTCTCCAACTAAGCGTATTTTGGCGTTTCCCCTTAGTTGGCGCCAAGCACCAATTTGTTCAATACTGCCAACTGGTGGTACTCACTTCAATTGTTCTCCATACTGACCGCTAGTTGTCAATATGGAGCAAATTGCTGCATGGTGCACCAGAATGAGGAGAAGAAGACGCCAAAACACACTCAGACAGGCCATAAAAATTAGTATTGTGTTTTAATCAAAGCGTTTTCAAACATCTTGATTTACCTGGGGCCTTTTTATTTATTTATTTTTGCAATTAAAATGTATTGAAATGATTAATTACAATGTTTTAAATACTTTAAAGTCACAGTAGCATTAGGAAAGACTTACTGCACTGATCTGCTGCACACAGATGACCAAGACAAGAATGCACCTGCAAATGTAGGCGATAATAATTATCTACAGTTTCATTTATAATATTAATAATAAAAATTGAATATTAAAAAGAAAACAGACAATTCATGCTAAATTGACGCACCTTATGTGTTGCTCTTTGTGAAGGAGAACTAACAAGCTGCTCTTTGAACAGGAAAGCATCAAAAACACTGTCTACTCAAGCTGTTTTCACACTGCAGTCTGTAAATGTGCCTGTGTGTGTCTGAGTGTAATGGAGGTGAGTTTTGTACAAAGTCTACATACTGGAATGCAAATATGGAGATGTGTTGAATATCTGAGTAAACAGGCAAGGAGTGTGTTTGTCCACTGGTAAATAGATTTTCTAAGCAGGGGATGTGAATCCACACTTTTTAAGACATATGTCTATAATAGTTTATATTATTTTCATTAGGGATCAATGGCATGTACAGTTTAAACCCCATTTTTTAAGACAAGGTATGCACTGACCAGACATAACCTTATGAAAACTGACAGGTGAATAACATTGATTATTTTGTTACAGTGGCACCTGTCAGTGAGTGGGGTGTATTAGGCAGCAAGTAAACATTAAGTCCTTGACGTTGGCATGCTTTGGAAGCAGCTTTGACAAGGGCCAAACTGTGATGGCGACTGGGTCAGAGCATCTCCCACACTGCAAGTCTTGCTGGGTGTTCTCAGTCTGCACTACCAAATGTGTCTAAGGAAGGACAGATGGTGAACCGGAAACAGGGTCATGGACGCCCAAGGCTCACTGATGATGAGGTTGGCCTACTGTAGACTAAACTTTTAAATGTTATTCATCTTTTTCAAAAGATTTCACTTAGTTTGAACCTTTGTTAAATTGAGCATAAACTTCACCTTCATGAAGGTACAGTAGGACTTAGTGCAAGACTCTTGCATTACTACATTATTACTAAGTATACCTAATAAACCACCATCGCAGTGTGTGAGATTGTGCACAGCACAAAAAGTTATCAACAGACATGGGTGCTGCTATATTGCTGTTATTGATAATAATTTAGTATAAATATTGTTACAGCGGGACTGGGACTCACCTGAGGGGGTGAACAGTAACAACACTGACTGAGGATCTCATGTCATCAGTTTGTTCATCAAGTGAGTGACGGGCTCACTGCTGCCTTTTGTGTTGGAGAAAGGTATGAAACAACAGAGACACCTGTGAGCCACGGACCACTTGACATGATGCAGAACGATTAACTTCCTTTAAGATAGAATATACAGTTGTATATACAATTAGGATATTTAATAAATGGAAATATTCTAAGGATGAAGAAATTGGTTAATGCCATCCTTCCACCAAGATAATCACTTAAAGCATTTCCCAAAATTTTGCAGCTCAATATAGTCTATAGGTAGCAGTCCATCATAAAACAATGTTCACAACTCACCCAAATTCAGAAGCACAAATGAATCTTCATGCAGGCTTTACTGCAGTCCATGCACGATCATCTCCTGCAAGATTCCAAACGTATCTTCTGCCTCTGCTATCAGTAAAAACCTAACTGCCACTGTTTGTTAGTGCTGAGAACGAGGTGATTGGGGTTGGCCACATCAGTATGCTCAGTCCGCCTACATCTTCAGGGACAAGTTAAACAACTTCTCTGGGTTGTTCTGTCTATCAAGGCAGTTCAATCCAGACAGAGAAGCAATAACTGAGTATCACCCAGGATGCTGCAGTGGATAGGTGTAATGTGAAAACTGATTGCGGAGAAGGTCAGTCAAAAAAGACGTTCATCACCCCAGGCGTGTTTGTGGTTATATCTGAGCTGTTGATGTAACCGGAGCAAGAAAAGCCATGGAAAGGCCGGTCTTCATAGTCACTCTGACACTGTTTGCTGTGATGCTGATGGGCATTGGGGCCAACAATGTAAGATGTTTTTTTTCCCCTTACTGACATAACACTATAGAAAGATCTGGTTGATCTGCTGTCTGCAAAGATAGAGTTAAAATTGTATTGACTGCCTTCTTCATTTGTATTTTAATCTCATTCTATACACACATGGGACAATGTCTTATTTTTGATATTTTTAGGATGATATTGTTGCTAGCTATCTTTTCATATTGATCTGCTGACTCTATATGGGAGAATAGCATTATTTATAACTCAGTGTTCCTTGTGTGTATAATGTGAGCACTGTTCACTGCCTCTGTTATATGACGCTGAGGTCTGTTTGTAACTTCAGTGTATATACTTATATGGAACTATCTTTTACCCTGGAGAAGGGTTTGTTTGCACATTTAATTCACTGTGTACAGTATTTGTCACTGGTGGGGGGCCTTTTTATGGGCAATCATTGAAAAGTGTGGGATATGAAAGAAGGAATGTAAAAGGATTTCTCAGAATAAACCAAACAAATGTGGAAATTGTGTAGTGAAGTATTTAGGTTAAATTGTGTTATGTAACAATGACAAAGGGACTGTGTATTGTGAACAACTGTAGAAGAAGGGTACTGCATATAAACAAGCCTAAAGTAATCTCTCTTCACTGTGTTATTATTGATCAAAGAACGGATCATGTTTGTAAATGTTGCACTCAAATCAGTATACTGCCTTCAGTAACCTAGTGGCCAGCCTAGTAGCATCCTAGCTCTGGGGTGGGCCCTTACAGTGCAAAGAGCCATTTTAACATGTACACAAATGGGGAAAATTGTGAGTCTGTATTGAGACACAGTTAAGTGTGTTCTCCATTTTTGCAACACATATTGAACAGTATTACAATTTCTTTTTAGTGTGTTTGCAGCAGAAGATCAAGGTGCCACTGTGAGGGAGTGAAAGGCAGCAGGGTGAGTGGATCATCTACTGTCTGTTAAACAATCAAATCCATCAGTGCTGGGGTTTATGATCAAGAATTATTTCACCTTTTTCTGTTTTAAAACTACTTCTTTTTATGTAACATTTTTTAAAATACCAGTTTCACCTTGATGGCTACAGTTACTGCTGCACGTACTGTACATTACACAACAGGCCATGTGCTATAATATGAGCCAGTGTGCTAGCTGAGTCTTTTTTGTGATGAAATGAACTGTGTATGAACTCCTCTCATGCAACTGTATTGTCTAATTATCTCAGTGAAACCCTAGTACATTCTATGGCATGGTTTTTCTTCAGCTTTCACATAAACCATTGCTTTGGTCTTGTATTCTTTTAATAACTAAATGCACCTATTCAGCTACCATAATTATAATAAAGAATAGGCCCTTTTTTCATAGTAGACAACGTGACTTGTCATAAAGCACTGTTGTTAATAATACCAACGGCTGTGTCCTATTCAAGCGTCACAATAAATAATGACCGTGCGCTGATGAGCCAGCATGGATGATGCCAGGACCCTGAAACTGAAGCAACAACGTGGAATTCAGCTGTCATTCATTTTCTTATTTACATCTGCGCTTTTTCTATACTGTCCTACTTGTCAGAATGCATTATGAGAAAAGGCCTGTTATATTTGTTATTACTACTACCATTCATTTAATATCTGTAAAACAGGTCTCACTGATCTTTAAACAGTGTTCAAAACAGCCCTTACATCAAGTGTTACTAATCATAAATGCTGCAGAAAAAACTGCATAATATGCAGCAGTTTTCACAGTGAAAATATCTGAGTGCTTCAGATGTAGCTGTACAGTGGAACACTTGTCAGATAACGTGCAGAGCCAGATCTTGGCTTAAAAAATCATCGCTTCTCAGTAGCTACTAATTACGTTTTTTGCAACATCCTTCATAATTATTAAAAAAACCCCTGCTGTTTCATCAGGCGGAGGGAGCAGAACACACAAAACCTCTTGTGTCTAATACAGTTTAGACTCAGCAGTTGTCAACAGAGACTCCTGTGGCTCTTTATGTTCCATTAATTGGCAGCATTGACTAATATGTAGCTAGCATAAACTAGGTGTGCAAAATCTAAGAGATGTTTTAGATCCACTGATTCCAAATGCATGTTAAAGAGAGATCAATTAGTAGGGTAGTCAGTAATATTAGAATGGGGACCATGGCCCCCCTGGCCACTCCTTGAGGGTGCCATTGCTTCACTGGTGACATGCAGTGGTATATTGTTGTTGTTGTTTTTTGTTTGTGTAAATAAACATCAGTTTCATTATAGTGTTTGAGTGTGCAGGTATAGTTCAACAGAATTGTGTTAATTATTCACCAACTCATATATTATTGACAATATTTACAAATGAAAGTCAGAATTTATAATTTGAATGATTTTTGTATGTGGCCTGTCCACCTCCTTGTCTCCTTTTCATCTTTCTCTCTCTCTCTCTGATACATACACTCACACCACACAGGGAGACAGAGGTTTCCCAGGAGTTTCAGGGCCCCCTGGGCCAGATGGCCGTCCGGGACCAGATGGTCATGTTGGGCCTATGGGACCAAAGGTAGAATTTCTGCATAGCTTCAGTGGCTGCTTTGCACTTACACTTTGTATAGCTGCAAACCCAAAAATGATATCAAAGGTCAAGACTGACTCAAACTGTGTATAGACAGTGATGAATTATATATTCTCCTTGTGTAACTAGTCAACACTTTTAGTTGTGCTTGTACTGCACCTTACTAGCTCACTAAGATTAATTACATGTTGCTGTCTTTGACAGGGCAGCACTGGACCTGATGGAACGGTGGGGTCCAAAGGAAATCCGGTAACATAAGAGTGCTATCAAAAATTGTCTCTTTTTCAGTGTTTATTTGATGAAAGAGCTTTGATTGAAATGACTCATGTATGTATGTGTAAAGACGACACGCAGCAGACCAGGAACACTGAGTGCCACTCTGTAGCACTCATATGCCTTTTAAAAAGTACACTGGTTTTATTACTGTCATTACAGGGACCAGAAGGCAAAGAAGGGTTTGCTGGCTCTCATGGTCTCCCAGTGAGGTTTCTTATTATTTGCTCTTCAGTATCTGATTATGTTATGTATTGCATTGTATGAGCATACTCCTGAATATGTTAATAGCTGCCTGTTTTTTTTTTAACTACAGCTGATATTCTCTTGCAGGGTATCCCAGGATTACAGGGGCCTCCTGGCCCCCCAGGTGCCCCAGGTTGCAACGGAACCGATGTAATTAAATATAACATTTTAAGAGTGCCATTTCGAATATTGTTTAGCTCATTTGTGAGTTGGAAAATTATTACAAAGTGGCTGCAGATCTTTACAATTACACTTCTTCTACTCGCAGAGAAATGAAATGTGTTTATGTTTAAAGTGTTTGTGATGCTTACTCTAAATGTTCTGAACAATTACCTATTTTTAGGGAGACGATGGACCTCCTGGTATTCCTGGTGCCCATGGTATTGATGGACTTCCAGTAAGAAACAAAAACAAAATAATTGATAATTTTATTATTAATATGTAAACTTGCTCCACCTCTGATCGGCTTTAGTCTTTATTGTATAGTGATGTCCTTAATAACAATCATCAAAGAATGTGCTTACTGTTCAAAACTTGCTTTATCTTTATCTCTACTTTACAGGGTCCACCAGGTCTGCCTGGACCTAAGGTAATAAAGTGTATGCTGTGCCACCCAGAGTTTGTTTTTAAGTACTTTTGTATTTAGGAATGATGAGACAGCAGAATTGCTCAGCAATTATTGCCTTTAAAAATTTATTAGCAGGAAAAAAAAACATGATACAGCACTTGTAGGTGTCCTCTCTCCCTGCCCAAGCTCCCAAAGCTCATTTTCTACCTAGTCCATGTGAGACCCATAACTTATTTAAAGATTTATTTTGTTTGTTTTTCCCTTCTTTGGTTTGTCCTTTCATTGTTATCTGCAACAACAGTGTGTAAATTTGCAAAACTAATTCATGGGACAAACACTGCTGGTAACTATGCACAAAAATACTAACAATAAACAGGCTTTGTTCATATATAAATAAATTTTTTGCTGAGCTAATTTTGTCAAAAGAATGCAGTCTTGCAGCTTTCCAGCTTTGACTATAACTTGTCTGCAACAGACTAAAAGCTGTGATGGATACAGAGGCATCTGACCACAATGCCAAAGCTGACTATTTGCCATATACTAGTTTGTTCTCTGTGTTCTAACATTTTGGCAAACTATTTTGGCCGTGCTACCACCCTTTGGCTTTGGAAAATTAAGAAAACAACAGCTACGGTGCATCTCCTGAACCTGTACGCACCATCTACATTGGCAAAAGCCACTCCACATGTTTTATCTGGTGGGACAGATTCAGTTTGCCATGATCGACTTGACTGACACTTTTATACCTCTTGGGTTGAGGCCATGTGACAAAACACATATAGTGACATAAGTACCTGCTCTCTCAGGAAGTGAATCAGTGCACCAGTGAAGTTTTTCAGTTTGCTATTGACACAGTGTTGTTGCAGATAACAATGAAAGTTGACTCAGGATCTACCTCATGTAATTCCATCTGTACTGTTTACATACACATTTTGCACATGCACAATTGCACACTCACTGCTGAGTATCTACACTCCACGGCTCCCACGTAGCATATATTCTCTCTGCATTATATTGTATTCATGTATTTTTATTTGCTCCCTTCACTTGCTGCTTTAAAGTGCCTTAGATTTGTGATTTTACTGCCTATTTAGATTTGTGTTATTGCTCATATACTTGATATTTCACTTGTAAAATGTGGCATTCATGTGGACAGCAAAGTAAAAATTTCATTGTAGAGGGAAACACATTTCCTAACTGTGCATGTGACAAATAAACACTTTGACCTTGCTAGGAGTAGCAAAGTACAGCAGCTTACTGTCTGGCTACTCCCTAATCTTCACTCCATTTAACTGGCTCAGTAAATCTACCTATACTACATCACAGTCATAGTTTTTAAATATTGGAGTAACATCCTCCCTAAAAGTCCTGGAAATGAAATATTGATTTTAAGAAAGTGTCCACAGACATCTTGCTGACAGTATGTACAGAAGGTGGAACCTGTACAGTGAGGTCAATAGTTGCAGTATAGACCCCAAATGAGAATCAGGATTCTGATAGTCACTCAACATACAGTATGCTTTGGTCTCTCCTCAGGACCATTCTCAATACTTTGAAAACACTTGTGAGTATGAAGGATTCCTGTGTGAGAGTCTAACTGTGACAGACCCATCTATTTCTGTATTGTCATGTCTGTGCCATGGTAGTGGATGCTTTTAACCAGCTTCACCCGTTAAGCATTTGAAACCTTTTAGAAGTCTATGTGAAATGGATCATTTGTAACCCTTGTTCTTCAATAGAATAAGTTAAAACCCTCTAAGAATGAACTCTGCTGTTCCACTAGTTGCTTAGTGAATGATGAGTAGGGTTTATGTGGATGTGGTGATTCATAGTCAACCTCCAAGAAACAGACTGTGGTCATTCTAAGTACATGTAAGTGTGTTAGCTGTACAGATACATGAAGAAAAGAGATGAGGTCTACAGAGCTCAACAACAAACTAGATTTAGATTATGAAGCTATGAAATGCCATTACCTCTTCCATACATTATTAATATACAGTATACACAAGTCATCAGGTATTTCAACACTAAATTTAATAGCTTTAACAACTAAATGTTAATTAAACTCACTTTCTACATTTCACAGGGTGACTCTTGGGTATCAGTGAATCCAACGCCAGGACCATTGGGGCTGCCTGGGAGGGACGGAGAGCCGGTACTTATATTGACTACAATAGTAATAACAGTGGGGCTTTTTGTATAACATTTACCGGGATAGCCAAACACACTTCACATGAGCTTGCTTTGTATTTCAGGGCATTCCAGGTTTACCTGGAGATACTGGACCATCAGGGGACCCCGGACCACAAGGCTCTGTCGTGAGTGAATCTGTTTGAGTGCATTTTGCACTACAGACATTTATTATGTGATGGTTGATATTGCTGCCTGCCTTCTTTATGAACAGGGGCTTCCTGGCCATCCAGGAGCACCAGGATCTAAGGTAGTGCTGAGGAATATTTCTTATATGTGTGTGCATACAGTATTTGATGGCTTACACCTGTGATAGCAAGTCTGAGTATTTACTGGGTGTCACAGATGAAAACATCTTCAGAATAACAGCTGCACAGTTCTGTTTTTGGCCCTTGTTCACACTTCCTGGGGCAGTGAAAACATTTTCTTACTGTTGCTTTAGTGATTGCTACTGGTTCGTCACAACACTAGTTTATCAGAAGGGCAGTACTTTGCAATGTAGAGTAAATATCTACATGCTTTGCAGATTCCCAGCTCCTCTGACAATGGTGATAAGATTAGAATCAGAGAGAGGCCAGGGCATTCTGTTCCCACCAGTGGGAGTTGTGTGAACAGACCATGACAAAGCTATGAGCAAAATAAAGCAGGTTTTTAGAAAATTTTGGGAATCTGGTAATTTATACAAGCAAGTAACAAAGCCTTCCCATCCTACAGGGTCAAGAAGGCACAGGCGGCGTCCCAGGACCTCGTGGATCAAAGGCATGTTCTTTTTTAATATACTGCTATAGTACAATAATACAATTATTTTTGATTAAAGAGGAGAGGGTATTAAATGCTAAATGATCGCAACATAATCTGCTTACATTATGTCTTATTTCTGATTGAGGCTGATCTCAATTTGTTTAATGCAGGGGAGACCAGGCCAACCGGGCCTGCCAGGGCCACCAGGTCGGGTTAGGGAGTTTTTCACTGAGAGTGTTGTGTTAAAGGTACAGCAACACATCAATTTAAATTTAAGCTAATATTCATAATGTTTTTCATCACAAATATATCATACAGTGCATAATTTGGGGTGGGGGTATGATGCTTGGTATTTCACCTGTATTGAACAACAATGGCCATTAGTTCGGTATTTCTTGTGAAGAACTGGAAATTGTGGGCTGATGATGTCACTAAAGGAGAAGTCACATGGTCATCGATATTCAGTATTCACCAAATATTCATCATCCTCTGGGGTCTATGGCTTCCATAGTTAATATTAGGGCAATATGGATAGCAGATTTTAAAATACTTAAAGGACTAATATTTTAGGACTAAAGTGTTGGACAGACTGCCAGGCAAAGGTGCCAGTGTGACTGATGAGCTATACTGTAACCTGAGATTTATTTCATATTCAGTTTGTAAAAGGAAACAAAGGAGACATCGGAGAAAAAGGCTGCAGGGGACAACCAGTGAGTTTTTCTATAAAATTCAGCTGAAATGACACTTTACACATCTCAAAGTTTTAATTTGTTTTAATTGTTCTGTCTTGTTAGTTGTTAGTGCTGTAGATTTTTCTCTCTGACTCCTTTTACTTCAATCTCTTCTCAGGGAGACCCTGGTTATGGCTTTTATGGAAAAGGAGCAAAGGGAGACAAAGGAGAGGAGGGTCCACAGGTAAGATACTACTGACCCATTTTGTCTCATATATGTAAAAAAAAAGCTGTGTTGTTGACTGTTGCATCATATTTTTGTCTCTTCAGACAGAGTTTTTTTCCCACTTCACTTTGCATTAATGGGCCACTAGTAACATATTGGGAATAGTCAACCAAAAGGACAAACAGCAGAGGGCAGTAATGCAACAAAAAGTCAATATGATTTGTCAAAAAACATAAAAAAGAAAGGGGAAAAATAAAGGCCCTTATCACCAATCTGTACAAGCTATTCTGTTACAATTCTGTGCTAAAAAATTATTTTCAAGTTAAAGTGTATAGCTCTTTTTTGAAGAGCCATACACAAGGAAAGGGTTAAGCTCCAGTATTAGGACAAAATGATAAGTCTGGTTCTATAGTGAGGTGTATACAACTTTACAATGCCTTGAAAAATTGATTACAACCTTGAGACTGCCTTTAAAGGGCCAACGCAGGTGACTTCTGGTATTTTTCAGAAATTAGTGACTTAGGGTGGACTCCGCCCTGATAGAGGATGTAGCCAGAGCTTTCATTGAATGCCATTTAAAGTTAAGGCAACAACTTCTTTCTTTCTTTGTTCCTTCACTTTTCTTTCTTTCATTGTTCTTTCACTTTTCTTTCTTTCTTTGTTTTTTTTACTTTAATCTTTCTTTCTTTTTCTTTATTCTTTCTTTTCTTTCTTCTTTCTTTCTTTGTTCTTTGTTCTTTTTCTTTCTTTTCTTTTTTCTTTCTTTCAGCTTTTTTCTTTTTCTTTCTTTATCCTTTTTTTCTTTCTTTTTTTTCTTTCTTTCTTTCTTTCTTATTGTGAAGGCTTGCAGCATAAGCCTGAACTGGCGCATTGTTTTTGACGGGCCTCTTCTAATAACACTGTATATATTTATGTACACTATATGTAATGGAAGCGGACCCTCCTCTCAATGCCCACAGTTGATTGCAAAAATTACTTTTCAGTAGGAAAATAAATGAAAGGATTTGTGATGCCCTTGGTAAGCTATTCTCTTTATAGAAAGCAAGACCTTTTGAATCCTCACCGGTGTTCTTAATTATCCTTACAGGGAAAGGCAGGGAAGGAAGGTGATCCTGGACAACCTGGATTAAAGGTACTGTTCTACAGTGCTATAAGTGTGTATGTGATGTGGAAAGTCATTATATTATAATGTGACCTGTGTGTGTGCTTACTCAGTGTGTGGCCTTTGAATACAATAAAGTTTTCTTTAGGGATGGCCCGGCCCTAGAGGTGATCCAGGATATTCGGGGACACCAGGATGGACAGTCAGTGATCTATTAGTGCCAAAAATAATATGCAATCTCTTGGTGGGTTGATATGGTTTGTATCGTGTTATGTTTGTGTACTCTGATCTTAAGGGTGAAAAGGGAAATAGGGGCCCATCTGGTCCACCTGGAGATGTAAGTTTATTTTCATTTGTAACATATTTTGAAACATGAACTGATGAGGGAAGGTTGATGAGAATTTATTTGTGTGTTTTATGGTACAGCTGAATCCATTTTATATTCCTGTTGTTCTACCATGATCGCAACACATGTCCCCCTGTGGTTTCTGTGGTTTTGATTGCAGATATTTGGACCTGGGACTCAGCCACTCAAAGGATACCATGGAGATCCAGGTTCCCCAGGCACACCTGGGCTCCCTGGCCATCAAGGTACAGGAGATGAACATAATGCTGTATCATAAACAGACTGACAAACAGTGACATGAAATACAAAATGATCAGTTTAATGTCTTTCATAACTGAGTTGTAAAAAATCCTGGTTGTAACTCAATAAACGTTTTCTTTTCTACAGCAAACCTGCACCTACAGTACAGTAATAACACAAGCTGATATTCTTTTGTCAGGTCCTGTGGGATTTCCTGGACCTGTGGGACCTCCAGGTGTGCAGTGAAGACACCATTCTCATCCTATTTATCTGTCTCTCCATCTCTCTATTATTCAGATAATTTATTAATTATGTTGCAATTAACATGTACTGTATCAAGAACTATGACTTTTGCTTTTCCTCAATATAATGGTCACAGTTTCTCACTTCACATTATACAGGCTATGCCCTGGGAAGTTATGTGCCAGGTCCACCTGGTCCTGTTGGCTTTCCAGGCCCCAAAGGGGACCCTGGGGAGCCTGGGGATATTTATTGGGGACTGCCAGGTCCAGATGGGGATCCTGGTTATCCAGGGCCTCCTGGAAATCCTGGCCCACCTGGACCTCCAGAAGATAGAAGTATGTGTAAATGTTCCTATAAATCTTTAATACTGTGGCACATATGCTTTTCTCTGCTTAGCCTCTTACACTTGTCAACAGAGCATTTACTCTAAATGGTATGGTGTGAATATCGCTGGATACCTCAACACTCACTTGTTTACTTCTCTTTTCTGTTATGGAAGGATAAAATATCTGCATTCTCTTTACAGTAATTTATACAAACATTACCTTTGTGTAACAGATCTAGTAAACCGATAGACTTTGTTGTTGCTGTTGCTTGCAGCTAATAGGATTACCAAGGGTCTCCCAGGAATGAAGGGAAGGAAGGGTATACCTGGACCTATGGGATATGATGGGATATTTGGAAAGAAAGGTGTGAAACTATTCTTTTTTATAAATTGATTGTAATTATTCTGTTTGTTTTCCATAGGTTAACATCTTTCTTAAAAGGGATATGGGTCACTGATAACATACAATATGCTTTTATCAATTTGGCTGTATGCTTTTATCAGTTTATGCAGACCTTTAATAGTTTCTCACTTTTTGTGATAAATTCTTAGTCTTTCTACCAGACTGGACAGGAACGAAAAAAAAAAAATAAAAACATAAAATGAGGAAAGTATAGTATTCTGTAATTAATAGGGACTCTCAAAAGTATTGCCTTGCATATTCTGTACAGGAGAGAAGGGGGAGCCCTGTTACGAGTGTATTGGATCAGGATACCCAGGACCACCAGGTCCCCCTGGTCCAGTCGGCATCCCTGGTAAAACCATTCACTGCATGAAAACATAGTCACTCTACCAGCTCTGTCCTTTCATATTTTTACTTTTTAGTGGCCATACCAGAGAGTAAGAAAAGTTTAAAATAATATACAATCTACCTGTTTCTGTTGTTCAGGCTACAATTCAGGACCAGGTGCCAAAGGTGATCCAGGCAGCCCAGGACCAAGAGGATTACCTGGAAGACCAGTAAGATAACATGTCTTTAAAAATTATTTGGTGGTTGTTGTTTGTGTTTTTATGAATATTTGTAAATAATCAATCCTCTCTGAAGGGTCCTATTGGTCAAACAGGATTTCCTGGTCCTCCTGGACAAAAAGGAGAATCGTATTCCTACAGCACCCCTGGAATTAACGGAGAGATGGGAGACCCAGGACAGCCTGGCAGGCCTGGTCCAGATGGTCGTACTGGGCTTCCTGGGTTACCGGGCCGGAAAGGACATCAAGGCCCTCCAGGAGATTCGGTGAGAGGGTTTTGAAAAGCTTGAACTTACATTAAGAATCAAGTGTTTGTCACACAGTGTCACATTTTGTCAAAGTTCTTCACTGTTTTCATCTGGTGTCTAGTATCCCTTCCCTGGAGTGGAGGGAGATCGTGGTTTCCCAGGTCCACTAGGGACTGTAGGTAGACCAGGACCAGTTGGCTATCGTGGGCCAGTAGGATATGGGCCTATTGGACTTCCAGGAAGTAAAGGAGATGCTGGGGTACCTGGCTTGCCAGGACATCCTGGAATTCCAGGTAAACAATAATACAAATTGGCATTTAAACATAAACACACAAATCAAAAGACAGACAAAAAGACTGACAACCACTGTATGTTCTTTTTTTCTCTTCATCCTTCTTTGGTATAGGCCAGAAAGGGGAACCTATCCACATCCATTACCTAGGACTTCCTGGACCACCTGGATTTGAAGGTCGGCCTGGTTTACCCGGAAGCCCAGGTAAGCATGTCTGTCTGATTGAGGGAATGATAAAAATTTGGATAGAGTGATCAATGGATTCTTTGTACATGACAATGCAATAAACAGTATACGCATGTCTCATACTTACCAATAAACATCCAGGTTATCAAGGAGCACCAGGTATTCCAGGAGCACCTGGTCCTCCAGGACAGAAAGGCAAAAAAGGAGACGTGTCATTTCCTGGAAGGCCAGGGATCCCAGGACAGAAAGGTAATCAATGAGGCCAAGCAGCAGAAGCCAAAATTATACCCTGTAGATAACAGATTCAAGATTCTTAGTGCAGGTGTGTTAATCAGTGTTACAGTTTAGGTCACTTTGCAAGTTGTTTTGAGACCTCCATAAGAGAAGGTGGAAGAAAATGTCATCAATGTATCATTCATGTTTCACTGTGTGTGATGTTCAGGTGAAAAGGGGCGGCTGGGTCTTCCAGGCATGCCAGGTAGGGGCTTACCTGGTCATCCAGGTCCACAAGGTCCTCCTGGTCCTCCAGGATTGAAGGTCAGAGACAAAAACAAAATTTGCTATATACACAGTCTACTATAAAGCAGCAGACATCTATATCTATATACAGCACATATAGTACTTCATTTGCTATTATATACAATAAAAATAAAAACTAAAGGTATCCCATTTTAACTCTCAGGCTTCATGGTCATATCAATACTATCTAAATATAATGTAATTTCTGTTGAGAGTGGGAGGTATACATCTTAAAGTGCAGTTCTATATTTTTACTTCATACCATTCTCTCAGCAACTCTCAGCAAAAAAGCGTATTTCTGAAAATGTCAAACTAGTGCCTTAGGTGTGACCCAATGGGATATTTGTTATGGAGATTACAAAAAAAGTTGTTTGATTTAAGAGAACAAGCAGAAAAGTGTGACTGAAAAAACACTGATGATTTTTACTGGTTTACCTTTAATTTGTTAGTGCCGAATAGGGAACAGTTTTCCGGGAAGTTCAAGTGTCCACTGCAGTGGGCCTTTACAATAGGCTTTCAAACACTTTTTGCTGCTGTAACTTCTGTATAAAGTATAATGAGCGTTCACCCCTGAAAGGAACTGAACTAAATGTAGGATGTCAAGGATTCTTCAGCAAGAACCGTTGTTCTAGCAGATATTAGTGTTGATAAGTCAATAATGTCCTGTGTATTTTTGACTATCAGGGTGACAGTGGCCCTGGATACCCTGGCCCCCCAGGTCCCCCAGGGGTTCCAGGAGAAGTCGGCGCTCAGGGGCGTGAAGGAGATCCTGGGGCCCCTGGTCTACCTGGGAACCCAGGGCTAACTGGCAGTCCTGGTTTTCCAGGAGAAAAAGGTACTCACCCACTAAGCACAAAATTGTAGCTTATAAACAGACACAAAGATACACAGTGTAATCAGATAATAATGAATGGCTCGTCCAAAAAGACATATGCATTAAATGCATATTCATGCGAACACAAGTTAATCTATTTACTGGTTATTCTGTGCTGCACACAGGAAGTAAAGGTTATGCAGGGCTCCCAGGACTACCTGGTAGCAAAGATTCATGTGTTGGTTTACCTGGGCCAGTGGGATCACCTGGACCAGATGGCTATCAAGGACATCCAGGTCAGTGCACACTGAAGTCATGCAATGTACTTTACTGTCAACTCCAGAAGAGCACTGAATGTAGGAGATGAAGCATTGTCTGTCCAACAGATTTAAAGACTTTCTTCACCCTTTTTCTTTCTCCCAGGACCTAATGGCTTGCTTGGTGAGAAGGGGAATGCAGGCTTGCCAGGGTTTGGTCACCCCGGCCCCCCTGGTGAGCCTGGCTCTGCTGGACTATCTGTGCCGGGTTTACCTGGGGCTCCTGGGCAAAAAGGCGTGAGAGGACAAAACGGCTTCCCTGGTCAACCAGGTATGTAGTTTTCGCTGCAATCATTACATTTTGTGACTTTCTAATTCTTCAGAACATCAAAGTTGTGAAACATTTGGTATACTTTAAATTAATCACTGCTTGAACTATGTACAGTACGAAAACTGTCTAATCAATGTGCATATCAAAAATACTTTTACAATAAGTATGCACTTCTAGTGTCAGAATGTATAGACTCTGTAAGTAAAGAATAATCATATAATAAGAATATTAATATAATTATATTATATCCATGGACTGAATTTTATAGCTTGTTTTCAAATGTTCCACTCGGATTTTTTCAGGACTACGAGGAGACCCTGGTCCAAATGGAATACCAGGATATGGACTAGATGGATTGCCTGGAACTGTAGGACCACCAGGCCCAATCGGTAACAGACAACCCTTCAGAGACAAGCAAATCACTACACACATTTAATAAACATGAATTAGAAAGTTACAAATGTTTGCCTTCTCCCGTTATGGGCAATTTGTTGTGATTTTATATGTGGTATACATTTATAACAGAACTAATGCACTCCATGATCTTTTACAGGTTCTCCTGGCCCCAATGGAGCCAGAGGTCCCAGGGGTCCACCAGGAATGACTGGAGACCCAGGTCCCAGAGGTCTTCCAGGCCCTTCATCACCACAACCAATCAACATTGTTGGCCCCCCGGGGGACCCTGGTGAATCAGGTGAGCTTTACAGTCAAGAATATTGTTCCACAAACATTTACTGTAACATGGAGTCGTTTCACTTATTTTTTCTTTTCTTTAAGAAATGTTTTTATGTTGAAGTTGAAATAAACTTCAGATTTTGGTAATATAAGACCTTTCCAAATGCCAGAGTGCATGTGAAATCATAAAGGCAGTCTTTGCAAGTCTTACTGATATAGTGTACCATGTATAACATATGAAATATTGTGACTCTAACTGTAATGCACAAGGTCACCCTGGTCTAACTGGCCCCCCTGGAGATCCTGGAAGAGCTGGATCCAAAGGGCAGAGAGGGAGAGAGGGAGCACCAGGGGGTCCTGGACAAAGAGGTCTGCCATTAGCTTCAAATTTGTAACAGTAAATTTGTTAGTATTTTTGTTGACCAGATTAGCCTGGCTATATTAACAGTTTTCAATTTGTGCTGCTTGGTTTTCTGTGTGCAGGCGCCCTAGGTGATCCAGGTATTGATGGACCAGTGTTCTCAGAAGGAAGTCGAGGACCTGCTGGAGCCCCGGGAGACCCAGGAGTTAGAGGACCTTCAGGTAACACCCACACAGCCTTAATCTAATACCATGCACATGTATTACTTTTATACAAAGTCACACCTCTAACCTCACAAGTACAGTAATAATACACAATAGCTTTTTACAGATTTACAAGAAATTCGGATTTTGAATAGAGTACAAATAGTATTCTTATTTTCATGCCTATCAAGGCTATAATATAATTTTAATATGTGCTATTTATTTAGGTAAAAATAGTTTTTTAAAATAATTTAACTATACCCTCGTTTCCTTGTCAGAAATGCATAAAAAGGAATTGTAGATACTTAACTCTATTTCATGAGTCTTGTCTAAAACAGTTGTTTGGTTTAACCCTTACAGGCTCAAAAGGAATAAAAGGAGATCAAGGAATCCCTGGAAGGCCAGGTCCAACTGGTGCAACAGGTCCACCTGGTTTAAAAGGAAGTAATGGAGAACCATTTTACTATGGATATGGACCACGTGGACCGGTAGGACAAAAGGTAGTAATAACTAGTCTAAAAGGCCTTTGTAGCTGATGCAGCAAGGTAGAGTCCTATCAAATAAAACATTTAAATGTGTATAGATTAAATAACATGTAGGTACTAAATGTAAATAATGATTTTTTTCTTTTCCTTTATTCTTTTTCTTGTCCTTAGGGTGAACCAGGATTAAGCAGTACTATTGTGATGAAGGGTCAGAAGGGAGAACCTGGTGTTGGTGGACTAGTAGGTCTACTTGGAGACCGTGGAGCCAAAGGAACCCCAGGACCTGTTGGAGAATATGGTTATTATCACAGATCATGAAAATTAGGCAGTTTATGATCAGGTTTATTTTTCTCTCACACATTGCTTCTCAAACCTGCTCTTGTGCGGTTCTAGGTTCACCAGGCTATCAAGGGCCTAAAGGTTCCGATGGGTCCCCAGGAAGCAAAGGACACCCAGGACCTATTGGATGGCCAGGCAAAGCCATTTTAAATAACAGTTTTTTTTACTATATAAGGATACCATAAAAATACATCAAATCAGTGAACAGCCTGTTTAAAAAAGTGTAACCTGCTGTATAGACACGAATTAGTCCAGTATTGTATTTATATGGTAATATTTTATTTGTACTTTATTTTAAAGCTACAATATACAAATTCAAACAAACCAGTCAGTTCTTCCCTTCCCTCTCCCTTCTTTGTTACGCCGAACCCATTTAATGCAGGAAGTGGGGCATGGCTGGTCTGAGCCTGCGTCTGCCATAGCTCCATCTTTCAGCATCTAATACCAGCTTGAAACCTCTGTGTGAGAGCAACAGCATCTCAGAAGTTAACATATCATGTGCTGATTGATAGGTGTAAGCATCCACCCATTATGTTGGCCCATTCTAATTGGTTAGAAGCACAATGCTCACTCAAAAACATTAGAAAAGAATATGTATGCACTGCTGCCAGCACTGATTATTAGAAGAAAATAAAAAGTTATGCACTCTAACTTCAGGTTTAACCTTAACCTTATTTTTTTCATATTTGTTTGATACAGGTGACCCAGGTCCACAGGGTGTCGGTGGCTATCTTGGTCCTAAAGGAAACCAGGGCCAGGATGGGATCCCTGGACCACCAGGACAGAAAGGGGACACTAGTAAGAGACACCCTTCATGAAAAGGCCTGTGCTTCTGTGCGCTCAAGCACATACAAACTTATACGTTCTGTTAGTTTGTATTTTATGTCTGTCCAAACCACTGGCCTGTAGGACAGCTGTGTCTTTCATAGGTAATGATACCTTCAAAGCCTTGGCTGTAGCCCAAACTCAGCTATCCTTCCATGTTTCCTCTACAGCTGTAATCGAAGGGGCACCCGGAAGGCGTGGTGACACAGGTCTGCCAGGTGAGTCACAGGTAAATGACTTTATCCTCTTCAAGACTTTTTCAAACATTACACTTGTGACAGTTTCCTTTGTTTTGATAGTATGTTTTTATTTTCACACTTTGTCCACTTAGGGAGAGCTTTCTGAATTATTTTGGACACATAGGGGTTTACCTTTTTCTGAGCTAAACCTTTGTGGGTACATTTCCCTCCACCCTTACTTAAACTCCCTTTGCTGTACTCATCAGCATTTTATTAAAGCTATGCACTTCACGTGCTATAATTCAAGTCAGTTCAATGTATCACATAATATTGTCTTGTTATGCTGTCTCTTTAAGTATTATTAAGTAGCACACTTAAAGAAAGAGGTACTTCATTTGTGGCTGTATTCATATAGTGTAATATCAAACGATGCATGAGGTAAAGTTTTTTTACACCTACTGTGCCCCTACTACTGCTGTCACTACAGTGATTCTCATGAATGTCATAAGCCTTTTAAAATTTGACGGTGGCATGCTGTCCGTCCACTTTTAACTCGTGTTCACCTTTATTTGCATCATTTTGGTGTTACAAATGAATAAGAATGGAATTGTGAAATAAAGTTATGTTCCAGTATCTTAAATGTTTCCAAAAATGGTGTGACAAACAAAGACAGTAAAGTGGAAAGCCAGAAGGAAACTAATAAATGGGAAGTCAAGTAATTTCTTATTGGTGTGAAAACACCCCCAATCACAATTTTCTTTGTGTAATCTAGGCCCCCATGGGAACCCTGGTCCTCCTGGCTTGTCTGTTACAGCAAGTCCTGGACCAATAGGAGACAGAGGATTTCAAGGTCGACCTGGGGCCTCCGGTCCAAGAGGACCATCAGGTAGAGAAGGGGCATGTATTCCTGGGCCTAAAGGAGACCGTGGCCATCCTGGGAATCCTGGCGCCCCAGGTGAGGATGTGTTGTTAAAGGACTTAAGGGTCTCATACCCTCTTCTGTAAGTGACACGACATCAAACCACAATCTCAGGATTCATTAGCTAATCACACATGATGGAACACTGCAGACATGTATTATTTGTTATTGTCACATACAGTAGTGTGTTCACTTTTATCATCATTCCCTCTCTTCCCTGTGTGCAGGCTTTCCTGGATTCCCTGGCCCTCCAGGTCCAGCTGTGACTGGGCTTAAAGGAGACACAGGGGACCCAGGTCCTACAGGAAGCCCAGGCTATATTGGACAGCCAGGGGATCCAGGCCCTCCAGGACCACCTGTATGAGGCCCCAGTGTAGATTTTTTTTTTTTTGGTGAAATACTTACAAAATGAAGATTCATATTCAATCTTCTGCACTAGTATTTGCATTTTACAACAGTGGTTTCAATTTCTTTTCAAGCAAAAGGTTCTTGAAAAAGTATATGACTAAATGTGTGTTGTTATAAAAACTTAAATCTTTCACCTTTCATTTTTTCAACTGCCTCCTCAGGGTGGAAAGGGCAGAGCTGGAGACCCAGGACCCAGGGGTGACTATGGTCCTCCTGGACACCATGGGCCCCCTGGTAATCTATCATTTCAGCTTTATCCTATCTAGATTAAATGCAGTCTTTGAATTCTTTTGTAATCTGTCACCACAAGAGTAGACTGATTTATGTTTTCACCACTGAGATAAAATACAAATAGGATAAATAATAAAAGGGACAGAGAAAATTTTGATTAAGTTCACTTTTTTGTGATATCATATACACTGGAATTTATAAAATTGGGTGTAAAGACAAGGTAATTTCCTTGCAATCTATTTATGACCTGTGTCTTTTAGGTGACATAGGAGGCCCTGGGAAAATCCCAGGCCTGCCTGGACCACCTGGGACCAAAGGATTACCTGGACAACCTGGTGCAGCAAGTCTTACTATTGTTCATAATAAGCAGGAATAACAATGAGCCCTGATTAACATCTTCTTCTCCACTTTACCAGTCAGTTAGTTATGACTGACATCAGATATGGAAAATTTTGCCCATTGCTGTTACATAATATATGTAAAACTTAAATTCTGTTAGTGCTCTACTGACATTCCAAAAAAACATTCACGGACCACAGATGTTATACATTTTAGCTAATTACATCCCAATTACTCATTCCTTATCCCTACAGGCTTAAAAGGTCTACCAGCATTTGCCAGAGTCATATATGAACCAGGACCGCCTGGTTTACCTGGTCATCTTGGCAATAGAGGAGTTCCAGGGATCACTGGACCATCAGGGCCACCAGGCCGTCCAGGTTCAAAATTTGTTCAAGCTCTGTATATACACTGATTTGAAGATCCATCCATTTTGTTATACCATTTATCCTGTGGGGGCTATGTGGGGTCAGATTCTAATGTGCTACTAGTTCCAGTTTCAAGCACAATGCACTTAATATTTTCATTTAACTCAATGCCATAGATATGGATCATGATGTCTGGTAGCTAAATAGATTTTCTACCTGCCTATTTCCTATTAAACCACATCATATACATGAATAAATATAGAGTTGTGTGATGTGAAGTGTTTGTTAACTCTGCCACTTCCACAAAACTGATTTTCTTTGCTCTCTGAATCTTTCTGTCCCAGGCCAGCCAGGCGCCAAAGGAGTCCATGGTTCCAGCCAAGTTGGCCAGCCTGGATTTCCTGGCAACAAAGGAGATAAAGGAATAGCTGGTCTGCAAGGTGATTGCGTGTGTGCGCAATTGTGAATATTGTTTTAATAGGAATTTGTTTTACTGCATTCTTGCATTATTCGGCTACATCATGGGGCACATGGGTGGTGCAGTGGCAAAGGACTCGAGAGAATCCAGGTTCAGCTATCGGCAGCAGCACACTCAGCTTGGTTGTGCATTACGTTAAAAGCCAGAAAGATTTAGCAAATACATCTTGTGTTTAAGCTCTTCTGTCAGTTAGGAATTACATATTAAAAACATACTCCTCAGTCCAACAGAATGAATTTGCAGTGACAAAGACTGAAGTACACACCCAGTGAAAAAAATCCTTAAATTTTCCCACATGATTATTCATTGTGCATTTTGTTCTTCATTGATGATATGTTTACTCTGCAGGCCTAAAAGGAATACCTGGAGGCCCAGGCCACAAGGGACCTCCAGGGCCGCCTGGTAGAAGTGGCCCAGATCATGTTTACAGTTTTCTGATAGCTAGGCACAGTCAGAGCATCCATGTCCCTCAGTGCCCTCAAGGCACCAGTCTCATCTACTCTGGTTACTCCTTTCTCTTTATGAATGGAAATGAGAGAACTCATGGTCAGGACCTTGGTAAGTGCATGGAAACCTTTATGCCCAGGAATACTGTACAGATTCTGCACCGTTTTGTCGATACTTACCGTACGTCTTCTAACACTTCAAACTTAGGCTCTATGGGAAGCTGTCTCCCTCGTTTCTCCACCATGCCCTTCCTGTTCTGTGACACAGAAGCAAGCTGCCGCTATGCTTCTCGTAACGACTACTCATACTGGCTGTCCACTGACACGCCTATGCCTGCCAACATGGTTGCCATCACGGGGGATAAGCTCTCCTCATACATCAGCAGGTGAGAGAGGAGAGCATGCATGCATGTACACAGACTCAAATATATTACAGTGTATTTCTTAAGCAAATCCAAAACATTTTCTGTTAACTGAAATATGATTTGGGACAGCATTAATATGTGTGTCTGTATGCACATGCGGTTTAGGTGCTCAGTGTGTGAAACCACCTCCAATGTCATAGCTGTCCACAGCCAGACAACTGTGATACCTGAATGTCCCAGAGGCTGGGAATCTCTATGGACTGGTTACTCCTTTGTCATGGTAAACAAATTGTAGTTTTTTTTTCTTGTTTGTTTGTTTTGTCTCCTGTCTTATGTACAGTACCTATGCCATTTTTCAAGTAACTATCTTTCTTTAACCTTCATCCATTGTAGCAAATAGGAGTAGGTGCGGGTGGCTCCACTCAACCACTGGTTTCTCCTGGTTCTTGTCTGGAAAGTTTCCGCCAAGTACCCTTCATCGAGTGTCATGACAGGGGAACATGTAACTACTACCCTGATTCCTATAGCTACTGGCTGGCCTCCCTTGACCCCAGAAACATGTTCAGGTAAACTGTTCTCTTGTTTTTTTTAAGCAGTGGTGGATGCATAGCATTCTTCCCCCCACTCCAGGGTTTTATCAAATCTTGAATATTTTCTTCAGCTACTGGTGGGCACAGTGCTGTTTTAGAGGCATTTCCATCCTCCTGAAAATCAAATTCTTCACCTGTCATAAAGAGGGCACATTTTTATGGTTTGCTAATTTACTGGTCATGAACCATTTTACAGTGTTACTTTAAACTAAGCCACTATAGAGAGCTCATCCAAAGTTCTATGTGTTATGTATGTGTTATGTTCTCTCCCCTAGTAAACCTATTCCTCAGACAGTGAAGGGACCTTCTCTACAAAGTATTATCAGCCGATGTCGGGTCTGTAGGAAACCATGGCAACCTGGCTCAGATGAGAGACGCGGGGACAACTTTTAACACTCAGTATTTTATTTTTCAGTGTTATTTAAAATCTAAAATATGATAAATGTGGACCTTATTAGTATGTATTGTGCAACTCTGGTCCTTTCATGTTACAAATCAGTATTTAAGGAAATTAACTCTGAAATGCACACTTCAACATATTTCAACCAAAGTGACCATTTTCTGATGGCAGTTATTTAAACACTAATAATTGTGAATATTAAAGTTAATGAAACATTTGGTGAGCTTCTGTATTTTATAGAGAATGTCACCAGATTATTCTAGTGCTGGCAGTAATAGTAGTAACAACAGTAGTGTTGTGCTATTTTTTTCTCCCAGTTCTCACATGCAGTGTATTTCTTTAAATGCTTTATCTGATGTTTCATTTTGCAATTTTACTGTAATGGTAAGGGTGTTAATATTATAAACAACCTAATGACATATTGGAAACATGCCATCTGTGACCTTGACAAACCTGAACAGTGACAGTAATAGTTGCTTAACTCTTAAAAGCACAGCACCTACATTGTCCCTATTGTCATTTACATGTAATTAACACATTTTAATAAAAAAAAAACCTGGTTTCTGTGACACCCAGACAAGTGAAAGATAATTGTGTTTGCTTCTTCATCCCACATGACCTGACACAACTGGTTCAATTAACCCAAATGAATGACATAAAAACTATTAGGTCACAACAGATGACACACATGTTCCTATGACAGTCTGGAGCAGGAGCATGTTGTAAATGTGACGCTCTTGATTTGAAATAGTTAACATTGTGCTTTCACACACAAATATTGAGTCATTTGTGCCCCCACTCTAAAAGCCTTTCTTTGAATTTTAGCATGGTAAATGGTGCATGGAAAAGGTTCAACTTTATGACTCATACTGCCTACATCTTTGGCCAGTCCATTTCTAAATGAACTCTCAGGAGGCAACGCTGTAATGAAATGGCTGGTGTTGTCTTTCTGGCTTCCGGACAAAAAAAAAAGAAAAGGGAAGGAAAGCACACTATGATCTTTGTTATTGTGAAATGACATCTCTCTATTTTGGGGTTATCAATCAGAAGAAAAGAATTTAATTACACATGGTTATTTTGATAATAGGACTTATAGGATAATAGGACAAAAGATGAATGCATGTTTAATTTTCCATTTTGAAAACCCTTATTCCTCTTTCCAATGTTATTCACTCAGAAACCTATCACTGGAGCAATACACCCAAAAGGAACAGTCATTTAAGCTCACGCAACCATACCTGTCACTGTGATCATTAAAGGCCAGCTCCCACTATATCTAGATGCAAAAAGGCACAATGATGTCCATACACAACACTGTGTACAAAATGCAATTTCTTTTTGGCATGAAGATATTCCAAGCTATCGATCGCTCAGAGTCATAAATAATCAACAGCCTCATATGCTTATGTAAGAAAGGCAGCTAACAAAATAACAGCTGAAGAGCTGAAGCCTCCTGTGTTAAAAAACCTGTCATGACATATCACACTGATTATCCAATGGATTTCTCCATTTCAGGAGCAAAATCTAAAGTCAACAAAACCCTAGTTCCAAGACATATGAAAGACCTGAAAGACTAAAGTGCTCTTTGTAGCCTTCTTAACAGGATTATTCTCCTTCCAACAGTGGACTTACTAATTGTTAAGGCAGTTATATCAGGCTTCTACACCTACCTAAGTGGGTTAGAACGACGGTTTGTTGAAAGGTTGGCACATTTCAAGGTTGTCTCCCTTTTGAGGACCTGTCCTTTTACTTGTCTCCAGGCATTTGCCTTACATGGGCTATTTCTTTTAAATATTAGTTTCATATATTAAAGGGTATACTGTAACTTCAAGTAATATTAAGCAGTGGATTTGAAAAAAAAGTGCATTTATTAGATTCATTTTAAATTATGTTTTTCTTTTCTCACTTCAGGTGAGACTACAGGTGCAGTCCATTGCTGTGAATTCTGAAGACTATAATGAACATTTCATTGCATGCAATTGCATGCATTCAATGCAAACTAAAGAAAAACTGGAAGTATTAGGAATACATGGATAAAATACAATTGATTTTTTTAGTCACGCTTAATGCAGTAATTCTATAGGGACCTAATAACTCTTGGATTTGTCTGATAAACCCTTGGATTTGTGTGATTTTAAATCGAAGGGGCCGTACCTGTAATAACACTTGCATATTTACAGCATGTACAATTACAGTATCATTATAGTTGGAGATAAATTTGTCTTAATTCAGATGCAGCAGATCTATGAAGTTAAATAGAGCAGAAATCCCATTAAACAGATGTACAGCCCAAACTCACGAGGGTGTAACAAATGATAAGTTGACCTTTATGGCCTTTAGATACCCAGGCATCTCTGGCCCTCCCCTTAGTTTCAGCTTTATGGCACAGCGCGATTGATGTCATTGTTTTCCCCATGTCTGCATCATCAATGTTTTCTTTAACATGAGTGCACATAACACTTCACTTTTAGGGATTTGCTTTCAAACAAGGAAGCAGAGGAGATCTTTAAGATTTACCGGTTACACCAATGACAGCATCAGAATGACCTTCACTTATACAACCAGATTACACTGTGTTTAATTAAATAATTACACAGGAAAGACCATGATCACAAAATGTCCTTATTTAGAGCCTTTGTCTCACTCCTAATGACTGCTGTAAATCACATAGTACATGCTTCAGTGCACTGATGGAGGCACACGCAAAACCAAGGATGGTCTTTACGCAAATAAACTGTATACTCCTCCCTTTTTGGAACTGGCTACTACTTATAAAACAGAGGTCTCACAGTGTTGTACAACTAAAGTGCACATCCACAGTGTATTGTGGTGTCTGGCAAAGACAATTTATCTCATCAAGAAGCACACAAGCAAGATTTTCGAAGCGAAAATGGCCCAGATCTTGTGCGTTTTGGCAGTTTTGTGTTTTGCAGTATGTGTTGTGGAAAATACAGAGACCGATCGGGGATTTCGAGATCTCCAACTTCAGAAAGACTCACTGTCCTTGCTCGACACATTACAAGACAAACAGGTAAGATGTCTTTAGTTTACTTAATACCCTTGTCCTAATGCTTAGTGCATCATACATCACCATCCTTCTTCCTAGTGGTTGTAATTAGGCCCCGTGTCCCAGCCACAACCACACTTCATGATGTTTTGCCTACACATTTGTTCTTACTTGTCACAAACATTTTATTTGTTCTCTTATTGAAAGTGTAGTTTAATTCTCATGTTAATCTTTTCTTTCATAGGAATCGATAAAGCCACTGAACTCAGTAGACTTTTTCAAGTCCAAAAATAAAACTATCCACCAGGCACCAAAAGAAACTGAGAAACAAGAGAAGAATCGACGTGGACTGGGTAGCAGTGTTACAACTCAACGCACACCCGGCTGCAGAATGTTCTACTGGAAGTCCTGGGCTACCTGCTAACTTTTCTCCCAGTCATGTCTCACACTGTCAAACCATGCAATGGGTTGCTCAAGTTTCTTTCTAAAGACATAATGTATAACGCATTCTCAAGCTCTCATTCAGGGGCTCATATTATTATACTGTCCAATCACTCCTATGTAAATTGTGTCCTTAAATAAAAAGACTCCATACTGCTCATGCCCATGCACATTTCTTCATGTATAGGATATGATATTAATTTTATAGTTCAGAAAGTGTACTCGAGCCAAGAACCCTCCTGTTGTGAGGTGACAGCGCTGTCATACATAAACAACAAAGCCTAAATCCTTCTGCACACATTTTGGAGTTCCTAATTAGCATCCTGCCATCCATCTTAGGTTAAAGTAAAATTTATAACTTCTGAAAAACAATTTAACATAGCCTTCTGCTTATGTACCACTTCCTAAACAACAACAACTCTCTATATATACTGTATACTATATCAAACTATTGTCAGTTTAAACATGATGAATCCCAGCAAACTGGTGGGAATTTGAGATGCTGGAACAGTGAAATCTTTTTAAAAGCACTTCAGGCACTTTACATTCTTGTAGTTAGTTGAACAATAGTTGACCCCCGTGATCTTGTATGCCTGCATTATTTAAAGCCTCTTTGACAGTCTGGACAAGGTGTACACAATAAACTGGGCCCTGAAAATTTAATGATGGGGTAAATGAACAATCATGGTGGAAAAGGCCCTAGTTCTTTTGCTTGTCAAAGAGTTAAAAGTTAAATGAGCCCAGCAGAGAGCTGAGAAACTCTGCAGGCTTCACAGACAACCATGTATACACCACTGGCTCACTATCTGTAGTCATCAAAATCACCAATCTGCAGATAGCTGAATGTGCCACCTTATCAATCCAGCAAAGGAGGCTGTTTTTCTATCTCTCTCTGTTTTTGATCCAGATAAGACATTACATGTAATAAACCTCTGCAGTGTGTTTGATGTTGTCATGGCAGACCAACAAAGCAGTAAACCAAAAGCTTTACAGACATCAGTTCATCTTCTGTCTCTGATGTTACTTCGGTTTTTATACCGTTTACTGAAGCTTACTTTGTATAAATGCACTGAAGCATGGGGAGAGAGAGCAAGTTATTAAAGAAGCAGTGTTGGAGAATAACTGCAGTCAAAACTTGGCTTAGTATCCTGTCTGTCCCTGGGCTATTAGGATTCAACAGAACAGCTTCCCTCTTTAACAGGAACCAGTGCCAGCACATTAACATGCTCATACTGCAGAGCTTCTCCATTAAAGTGATAGAGTGCATGACAGTGAGAAAAATAAAGTGTGTGAGTGGGTAGACGGATGGGTGAGTGGGTTTACAGTGTGTGGGTGCATGTGTGCACTGTGCATGAACTTTTATGTCTCTGATATCTCTGAAGTATCAGTGTGTTTGCTTGCAGTATAACACAGTATTCATCTGCAAAGAGAAGATGCCAAAAAAATCACAAAAAAAAGAAGCAGAGAGAAGGTAAAGTGATCAAATTTTATTCTCGGGACAGTGGACTGTCTCACAAGGTCCTGCAGCAGAGAACTGAAGGTTTGAATTAAATCTCTTTAACTATTATAACTATTTATAATAACTCCCAAGCAGCTTGTCTTTCCATTCTTCCCTTTTCCAGATGAAAACACATTATAATCAGTTGTCTAATACCGAGTCAAATGAGTTAATTTAGATCTAAACGAGATTTTAAAAAAACAACAACACAGAGCCAGCTATATCAAAGGAACATTGTTATACCTTAAATGAACCAGTTATTTCTAATGGAAGAACTGAATGCCCCACTTTTGAATAGGATTTCTCTCATTTCTCTGGCGGAAAAAGAAACAAGTGGAGTTCCAGTGGACAAAGGCCCAACCTTTTGAACATTCCCACTCGGGGCAAAAACACTCTGGATCATGTTTACAGCAACATACGTGATGCATACAGGGCTGCACCCCGCCCCCACCTTGGACGCTCAGACCACATTTCTTTGTTCCTGTATCCAGCTTACAGACAGACTGAAACAAACAAACCCTGTCACCAAACAAATTAAACTCTGGACCCCAGAGACTGAAGGCACTGTCTCACCCAGACAGACCGGGGATGTGTTTAAAGCTGCAGCCACCTCTGAGGACTTTTCTGTCAGCGTACAGGACTATGCTGAGTATGTGACCG